TTTTACTTGTCTATTTTATCAGTTTCTGAGAAAGTGTATTTCCATTGCAATGGCAGACATCAACCTTCACTTACTACTATCTGATTTTGCTTTATATACTTGGAGGCTCATACTAATTTAGAACCATTTCATTAATTTTATAAATATCATATTATTAAGTGCCAATATTTAGTCCTAGTAATGCCTTTTGACTCAAAATTTACCTTAAGGTAAATTTTATTAGTGTCTGTTTGGTGTATTTTTTTCTACCACCTTCTCAGTCACTACAAATATGCATCCCTGACACCAGAATCTAACTGAATTAGCACTTCTCAGACACTAACATTTTATAATTTTAACTCCATTTATTATCCCACTCTCCAACCATTTGCCATTGCCGTAAGGTATTGTAATTCTAAATATATTTTAAATCTCTGACTATATTACATTATTATTATTTTCTAAGGCAATTATTAATTCAGATTTACCCACATTTCCATTTCTTTCTTTGCTGTTGATTTTTGCATGTCCAACATGATATCTGGATGATTTTTCTTTTGCCAAAGAAATATCCCTTAGCATTTTTCTTATCTACTGATGACCCATTTTCTCAGCCTTTGTGTCTCCGTATTTGTGTTTACCTCATACTCATTCTTCTTTTGTTTTTAAAATTTATTTATTCATGCGTACAAGAACCAGGGTACAGGCCAGAGGCGCAGGAGGGTGAGAGGATTCACCAGAGACAGTGGGGAGCAGAACAGGCAGACTGACTGAAACACACTGCTGAGGGGAGCAGCAGGCAAGACAGGAGAGGTCTGCAGCACAATGTGGGGTTCTCCCTGGCCGGCCAGGATCAAACCCACACTGCAGAGGCTGTGGACAGCCTCACGCTCATTTTTTAAGGATGCTTTTGTTAGCTCTACAGTGTTGGGTTGACAATTACTCTTCCAGCACTGGTAAACTGCCTTTTCACTGTATTCTGCTTTCATAGTTTCTGTTGGGAATTCTGCTGTCCGTTAGTTGAGTGTCATAAGACTTTTAAGCCTAAATGATATAAAGACACACATATGTGTGTGCTGCTATTTACGTACGCATATGTACATATGTTGACATGTTCACATGGCGGGTATTTGTCAGGTCTGCTGCCATCTTTTGAAAAATCTGCTGTGTCCATAGAAGCCCTACCCTGTCATTTCTGCCTGTCCATGCGAGAAGTCAGAATTAATCTCCCGGTGCCCTTTACAGCTAGGACAGACACGTCACTGGAGCCTTGTCCCGCCTGGAGGCCCATGTGCGCTTGGGCTGGAGACGGGGTTAGGCCGCGGGGCTGTTGGCAGGAGCGGTAACGAGAGCATTTTGCCTTTAGAGGGCAGCAAAGCTTCAAGCATTTGAACCCGGGTTTCTTGGGAGCGATTCTGCTCTGGGTCCTCCGAGGTGCAGATGCCAAGACTGGCTTTAACCAGCGAAGATTCTATGGCGGGAAATGCCTTGACGGTAAAATAGCCAAGGGTCGACCAGGGGCTGGGCACTCAGGCTGGGATGCAAGTCTGACCTTGAGCAGCGGCTGCTACTCAAGAGAAGCGATCGCTGGGTGGAAGCGTCCTGGGTGGCCGTGCAGCGGCTGCGAGGCTGAGCCAAGCCCTCGGGGAGTCCGGGAGCCGAGGTCCACCGTGGAAGGCCCCGCTCTCCCGGCCACAGCTCCGCCGGGCCGTGCCACCCATCTCTGTCACCGCCTGGAAGCCGCCCAGGGGCGGAGGCGCCTTGCTGCAAAAGCAGCTGTGTCGTTTTGGGGTGCTTTCACAATCTCTGCAGAGTTCTGCAAACGCGGTTGAAATCATTCCCTAATGGATGGCTGCCGCGTCGGTTGCGCAAGCCCTCACCTTTCACCGCGCCCCTGCGCTGGCTGCGGGCAGGTGATGGGAAGCGGGGAGCATCCAGGGGACCTGACTCAGCACCTCCTGCCTGGAGCCATGTGGGAGGTCCTGGGGCGCGGGGCCTGTAACCCCAGCTAGGGTGGTGGCACCTCGGGCGACTGACCCTATTGTGTGCCCTTCTTGCCTCCCTCCGCCTCCCATTCTTCAGCCTTGTTTTATTTATCGATCCCTTGGCTACTTCCTCCATGTCTGCCCTACCGGTTTCCTTCCCACCACCAAGGAACTGTCTAGCTGTGTGCCCTGTTGCACAAACCGACTTTGCATTGATCATTCCTCAACTGGAACGTCATTAACTCAGGGGAAGGTAAACAGTGTGGAGAGGAGCGCATGACCCCAAGAGGAGCAGTAAAGGACTGTGTTGAGGTAACATGATTTTCGGGATTATGTGAAATCGTGATCTGGAAACTGTGATACCTAATCACGGGTAATGTCAACACAATTTCTGGACCCTTATGGGCTTTTCTAAACTTATCTTTTTCATGACATGCCTGTGGTGAAAGGGCAGGCATCGCCTCCTTCCCACCTGCTGTACAGGTGGGTCTTCCACATTTTAGGGGGGAAAGAGGCATCTTACTGTTGTGCTCTATCTGCAGATAAAGTAGATTCTGGGGCAGCAAACACAGGATTTGAAACACCGTCAGTAAAATCTTTATTCAAAGTCCAGTAACATGCATCTCACGTTTTTAAAAGCTGCATTTTCAATAAAAATTTTCTTTAGGTTCTGTGATTTTAATTAATTTTAAGATTTATTCATATGGATCAACTTTCTGATAATTGAAAGACTTCATCCAAAAGAAACACTTAATGCCTTTTGAGGGAAATATTTATATACGTTGTTGCCACACAAGATGATAAATAAATGATCACTAGGACTCCCATAATAAATGTAAATTACATTAGGGTAAAATTCTGTATAGGATGCAAATCACGTTTCAAGAAGCTCATGTAAAATGTCTGCTATGCGTAGGTTCTTTATACCTAGATTATGTATTTCTGAGACTTCACAGCCCATCTCCTACATCCTGTACATTGGAAACTGCCCTGTATATATAGCCTTCCCTTCACCACACATTCTTTTTTTTTTAATTTAAATTTTATTTTTATATTCCCCATACAATTACAACACCCTTATTTTGACCCCAATCCCTCCTCTCCCCGCTCCCCACCCCCTAATAGAGTATCTCTGGTTCATAGTTGTTTGTTGATTTTGATTTTTTCTTTCTTATAGTTATTCATTTTCCTGGTCCCTTATTTAAGTTTTCTAGATTCCTGCTATGAGTGAGACCATCCGGTATTTTTCTTTTTCTTTCTGGCTTATTTCGCTGAGCATGATCCCTTCCAGCGCCATCCACGTTGCTGCAAATGGCATGAGTTTATCTTTTTTGAATGCTGAGTAATATTCCATGGTATAGATGGACCACATCTTCTTGATCCAGTCATCTATTTTTGGGCATTTGGGCTGTTTCCAAAGCTTAGCTATTGCAAATAGTGCTGCTATAAACATAGGGGTGCAGGTGCTCTTTGGAATGGATGTTTCTGTGTCCTTTGGGTAAATACGTAGGAGTGGAATTGCCGGATCACATGCTCTATGTTTAGTAGGTCAAGAAATCTCCACACAGCTCTCCATTCACCACACATTCTGAACCTAAAGTCCATAACAAAACCAGGGGTTCAAAAACATGCGTAGGACAAAAACGCATCCTTATTTTCACTAAGCTCTTTGTTCATTTCCTTCAGTCATGGAAGCAGACAGTAAACTAGAGTGGTATTACCAATTTCTAATACTTTGCCACCAATAAAAATCAGCTTCTCCTATACAGTATAGCTGCCACCGACATCTCAAAGCATTTGTGCTCTTCACCATTTTTAAAGCTTGGGACTCAGACTTGGCGCGGCTCCGAGCACGCATGTAACTACACACACAGTCACCACGGCTATGTAACAAATGCTGGCTACAGTATTTCTTGTAACTGTATTTCAACATAGTTTCCCTTGTAACCTTTTGCTGTTTCGTGGGCTTAAAAGCAGCGCTAGAGAACGCGTCCCTAAGCCTGGCAGGTGCCAAGTTGGTCTTGGGCACTCACAAGGGTCCCTATGACCCCAGCGAGGAGCGCCTGTCAGCCTGCAGCCCTTCACAGGACTCGATCGCTGCTTGGGGAACCTACAGGGACCCCCATTTAAAGGGTGGGGAGACTGGGGCCTCCCTGGTGGCGCCAGGGGTTCAGCACCGCACTATTGTGCGAGCCACAGCCTCTGCAGCCCGAGTTCGATCCCCGGCCAGCCAGGGAGCTACCCACATGGCGCGGCAGACCTCTCCTGTCTCCCCGCTGCTCCCCTCAGCAGTGTATCTCGGCAGATCTGCCTGTTCTGCGCCCCACTCTCTCTGGTGAATCCTCTCACCCCCCACATCTCCGGCCTGTACCCCAGTTCTTGTATGTATAAATAACTCTTTAAAAAAACAAGGTGGGGAGAGCGTTTTTCCATACGTGGCAGCCCAGGGCAAGCAGCGAGGACAGGACGGACCCGCTTGATCGCCACTTTGTCACCGGCTCCGGACCCCCGGAGGCGCCGCACCCCACTTCCTGCCGACTGCGCCCCACCCCGCCCGGTCCTCCCGCGCCCGCCCGCCGCGTCAAGGCCGTCCCGGGCATCTTCGCGCGGGCACCTGGCGGAGGGGCCCGGGCCCGGGCCCAGGGCGGCGAGCGCGAGGCGCCTCCCTTTCTCGGGGTCGGCCAGGGCGCCCCCAAAAGTTCGGTGCACAACGCCCAGCCCGGCACCACCGCTGGGCCCGCGGGGCTCCCGCTCGCCACGCAGGCGGCCCGCGCGCGGGGTTCGGCCCGGCCGCGCTCCGAGCGGAACCCGCGAGGCCTCCCCGCGGCCCCGCCGCGCTCGGGCGCCGGCCGGAGCGGCGCCGTTGGCTGACGTGGCGCCGCGCGGTTGGCCGGGGCGGCCCGGCGGGCCCTGATTGGCGGGCGCCGGCCCCGCCCCGCGCCCCGCCCCGCCCGGCCGCCGCTGCCCGCCCGCGCCGCCGCCCTCCGCGCGCCCCCGGCAGTTTGCGCCGCCGCCGCCCGCCCGCCGCCCGCCGCCCGCCCGCGCCCATGGCCGCCGCCGCCACCGAGGAGCCCTTCCCCTTCCACGGCCTCCTGCCCAAGAAGGAGACCGGGGCCGCCTCCTTCCTCTGCCGCTACCCGGAGTACGACGGGCGCGGGGTGCTCGTCGCCGTCCTGGACACCGGCGTGGACCCGGGGGCGCCGGGCATGCAGGTGGGCGCGGGGGGCGCGGGGGCGCGGGGGGCGCGGCGGCCCCCGGACAAAGCGGCGGCCCGCGGCGCGCAGCCCCCCGGCCGGCCCGGCCCGGCCCGCGCGTCCCGGCTGGGCCCGAGGAGGACGCGCCGCGCGGGGCCGGAGGCCCGAGCGCCCCTCGGAACTTGGCCCGGGCGCCGCCGCCGGCCGGCGGGGTTCGGGGGCACCGCGGCCTCGGGGCGACGGCCGGGCCCGGGGTCACTCGCCAACTTCCGCGCGGCCCGGGGCGCGGGGCCGCGGACGCCCGGCCGGGCTTTGTTCGCCCCGGAGAGCCGGGTTTGGGGTTCGGGGAGCGCCGCAGCCTGCCTGCGAGGAGGCTGCCTTGGGCTCGGGTCTGTAGCCCCAAAAGCAAAGACAATGCGCCGGGATGACGCTTCTTAAAAACGACTTGGTGCTGCCCTCGGCGCCCTGCCAGCGCTGCCTGCCCCGCGAGGTGCCTTCCCGGGAGCGGGTGTTGGCAAACCGTGTCCCTGGATGGAAAGTGTTCCGCGTAGGGTCTGCAGCCTGTCACTTCGCTGTGTTGCTGAAGTCCAGGAGTGAACAGAAGTGCCCCGGCGCGAAGCCGCAGCTCTCCACGGCGCGCCCTGGCGAGCCCCCCGCAGGCTGACCCCTGCCAAGTGCCAGCCCTGGGCCCGTGCGCCCTGCGCGCCTTTGTCCACTGGACGCTGAAGTTTAGTGATTGTCCCCCTGCCTCGCGCCCCGGCTCCCCTCGCGCCTTCCTCTGCATCCTCTCCCCTCGGGCTCTCCAGTAACCGTGGCCCTGGGGAAGTTAGGAAATAAGCGGGAGAAAAGCGAAACATTCTGGCAGGCTGTAGGGAACCTCTCTGGGAATTCCGTCTCCTCCTGTTAATTCTGGAGCGGCCCCGGGATTGCCACCCCGCCAGACAGCGTTGGCGAGGCAGCCGCGAGCAGGTGATGCGTCCCCTCCGAGGCCCTGGCTGCACACTTGGCTCCGTGACAGCGAGGACTGACATGGTGACAGCCGTCACCTCGGTGAGGCTTTATTGCAGAGTAGTAATGGTCCCCATTCTATTGTGGGGTGTGTTTACTTTTTATAGGGGTAAGTGGGAGGCGAACAGCTGGGGTAAGTGGTTCTCTGGTTCTTGTGTCAGGATAATAAGAGCATGGGACGGGCTGGGAGGAGCCGTCTGGGTAAGAGCGCTTTTGTAGAATGCCGCATGTCCGCTTGTCAGATTGCTTTCTTGCTCTCTAAAGTAGCCGTAATTCTGATCTCACAGTGTTACTATGAACACTGATCGCAAAGATTGGCTTCTTAAAGTGCTTGAGGAAAAATGTTCAACTATTTTTTTTTTGAGTAGGACATTTGGTAGATTATCCTTAACCCATAACTCTCTGAAGGTTCAATAGGTATTAAGTATGTAGTAAATTGCGCGTAATAAATGTTTGAGTGATGATAGATCCTTGATGTAAAGTAAAAATGTCACTCTTCTGACAACGTTAGCTCTGTGGCATTAGCCTGGTCATGACCAGGTAAAGTCAGGAAGGCAGTTTGCATGGTGAGTGAAGTTTTAAGATTTTTTTTTCCCCTTTTAACACATTTATTTTGTCGACTTCTGTGGATATCACTAAGATGAAAAGTTAGGTATGACTAAACAAGGAAGGAAAGAATGAGCTAGGAGGGGAAAGAGGCCACATGGACCCTTGGAGAGCCAGCTGGGGCCCGAGTGGGCCCCGGGAGAACACAGCGGTGCTCTCTGGCCGGCTGTGCTTGTTCACAGTGGAGAAAGCCGCCTCAGAGGAGTCGTGATTGCAGAAGTAAGGCTTTCCTTGGCAAATACTCAGGCCAGGTGCCCGATGTGTTAAATGATGTAGCCATTGCAAATGTCGTCACTGCAAACTGTAATGCCTTACAGAGACTGGTGAACTGGACCCATCAGGCTCCAAAGTGGAGAAGCCGCAGGGGTGAACCTGGAAATGAACAGGCACTGGGAGGCAACTCTCCTGTCTCTTCTCTCTGACCTGCCCTTCATGTCGCCTAAGTTACTTTACTGAAAACAAACCCAAAAAAGCCTTCCCTTCCACCCCTGTTTAACACAACAAAGCAAAACTATGTTGGCATCCCCAGTCACCTTTGCCCCCAAATGCAAAAAGTTGAACTTCCTGTGGCTCGCCATCCAGTGCAGGCCGGGTCTCACCTGACCGTTTCTCCCGTCCGCATCCTGCATCCTGTCCACGCCTGTCTCTCCCACTCACCTGGTTGAGCCAGGGCTTTTCCCGACACCTGCCTTTGCACGTGAAGTTTAATCTGCTTGCTGGCCTTCCCCATCACCTGTAAACTGCCTAAGCCTTTAAGATCCAGCTGGGTTTGACCGCATTCCCTCTTGGGATAGCTGCTGGTCTAGCTCAGCCCCTGCTGTGCGCGGCTGTGCAGGTACCCACATGGGGGGGGGAGCCCCCAGGGCTTCAAAGAGTGGCATGACCCAGCCCCGCCTAACAGAGTCTCTCTGTTCTCAGAGGAGTTTGTTCACATCCAGGATAGCACTTAAAGCATTTCCTTTCAGGATTGATTCATGTGTCTTTCTCCTGGTTAAGTTAAACTGTGTTGAAGATACATATCAAAATGTATTTTGTATCAAATGTGCTTGTAACATTAAATATCATTGATGAGTGGGGGGCTGCCTGTGTAGAATGTACCCTTGTTTCCTCGCGGAGAGAAAATGATTGAGAAGGAGGTGAAACCTCGGCGTCCTCCAGTGGAGGGTTGCCTTACCTGATGCCGAAGTGTGTGGAGAGAAACTTGCTTCTATAAAAGGACATTTTGATGAGCCGCAGAGAGGGCCTCATAAGAGGGTAACCACGCAATCCCACCCAGATCTCCGAGGGTGAGTTTCTCGGAGAGGGGTCTGTGAGTGTTCTTCATCAGCCGTGCTGCCTTGGTCCCGCAGCGCTCTGCTCTCTTGAACCCGAAGATAGTGGAGATGGAAGATGTGTGTTCTTAGTCCTGGGGTATCTCTGGCTTGTGCATGTTCAGAATACATTGTAAAAGAAGTCACCTGCCTGTTTTCACTGTCTGGTCTAGCTACTTTTAACTTGAAGAGTATCTATTTCTTAGTTGTTTCCGTTTTTTATTTGGGTAGATTTTCCTTCCATCCTTTGTGCTTAAAGCTTCTTAAGCAAGCCCATCTAAATCAGTATCTGATTTAAGTTTTATCATAACTTTACCAGGGAGTGGCATGGCTTGCGCGGGGATTTTTTTTTTTTTTAATTATGTGTTTGAGGCTTCTGAGTAGAGGCTCCCTGTGCGTGGAGAACACTTGTTGCGGCTGCAGGCTGTCTCCAAGAAATAAGCGTCTAGTTCGGGACCCGCCACGTGTGAAGTGACAGCTGTGCCCTGGAGGCCATGTGCCCCGACAGAGCTCTCAGGCTGCTTGCTTGATGGCTGCATGATTGGAGCAGGGTCCGCAGGGAGCCCCCTTGCTTTGCCCTGTAAAGAACAAACTGTGCCCCTTTGTCTCCTCCACCATGACTGTGTCTGTCCGCTGGTGTTGGGGGGCGGGCTTTGACCAGAACGTCCTGAGCTTTGAGGCGAAGAGTGAAGCCTGCGGGTGACGAAGTCAGGGGGTTTTGGGTGTGGCTGCTTCCCCCTGCCCCAACTCTCGAGTCTTTGTGTCTGATTCCCGCTGGAAGCTTGGTGCGGATAGCTTGAAAATTACAGATCCCCTCTAGGTGAGCCCAGAAGTGATTTTTCCACCAAAGCAACACGGCAGTCCAGTACCGCTGTGATCACCAGCTGTCACCGCGGCCCAGAGGAACGTTTGTGAGCCAGCCGAGGAACCACACCTCGGCGAAAGCAGCTTCATGCTGAGGAATTCTCGCCCAGTGGAATGTGAATGTGTGGCTGTGCGGTACCTGTGGGCTCTGCTGGGTTTCGGTTGATTTGGTAAATAGAACAGCCTTGGTCCTTGCCTTGTGGGGCTTCTCTTCAAAGAGTGGCTTTATGTTGAGAATCACTGTGAGCATAAAGCAAGTTGCGTTCTGTCAGGTGGCGGGAAGCTCGTGCAGGTGTTGTGCAGAGGACTGGCAGGAACAGCTGGTTTCACTGTTGCTTTCAGTGGAAGCCAAGAGTGGGCCCCGGGAGGCTTGGCAGGAGACGTGCAGTCGAGAGGTGATGGTGGTGGAGGGAACAGAACACTGGCGGCGAAAACCAGGAGAAGGTGAATTTGAACTACGTTTTAGAGGGAGAACGAAGAGGTCTTCCTGATGGATGTGCTGGGAGCAGTGAACTGGAATGAAGACTCAAGGACTTTGATGTTGCTGATTGAGCAACTGGACGTGTTGGTTCCTAAAATGGCAAAGCCTGGCAGGAAACAAGTATCAGGGTTAGGTTTGAACTTTGGACTTAAGTCTGAGTGTTCGTGTGGCGTCCCGTGTGGCATCCCGTAATGAAATGCTACTAAACACTTCCCCTCAAAGCTGGTGCTCATCCAGCCCAAAGCTTACTGCTCAGATCTTCCCTCACGCTCCTTCTCTGCGTCTCCACTGGCCTCGTTCAAGTGGAAGTCCCTGCTCCACCTGTTCCTGTCTTCCTTTTTCTCCATGGCGCTTATCACCCTCTGAGATGTTATATATTTGACTCTGCTTTTTTGGGCTGCGTGTAATGATGTCAGATTTGTGACATCGGGGATTTTTGTGTGTTGATCATTGCTGTACCCCAACACCTATTGGTAGTTACACTCAGTAAATATTTGCTAGCGCACATATGAAGCCACTTCAGGGATTCTGTGATGTTTCCAGATTTGGCTTAAGACAATCCAGTTATCTTTTTTAAGTGATGGCAGGTTTTATGGGATATTTCACATATTTGAACATGTGCACACCCACAAATATGGGGATTAGCATTGTTTTAAGGATGAAAAAGTAAAGTCTAATTCATAGTTTCTTTTCTTTTGGGGGGTGGGCAAGATACCCTGAACTCAGGATTACAAATAATGTAGTTTATAATTCATATTTAATTGTCTCTTAATTTCCAGGTTACAACGGACAGAAAACCAAAAATCATCGATATTATCGACACAACGGGGAGTGGGGACGTGAACACGGCCACGGTGGTGGAGCCCAAGGACGGGGAGGTGGTCGGCCTGTCGGGGAGAGTGCTGAAGGTGGGGCCTCGGCTTCCTAAATGTTTTCTTCTTTTTCTAATGTTGCCTCAAAGCGGCAAATGCCCAGTGGTTGGGTGTGGGTGTTAGCTTGTGCTGTGCAACAGAGTGCCCTGAAATGTGATATTTTTAACCCCAAACATTTATAATTTCCCCAACAATTTTCAGTTCCCTTTACTCTGCAGCCTCCAGCATTGGTAACTTTGGCTTCTGATGTCTCAGTTCCCATTTTCTTTGTCCTTTGGGTTTTTTCTTTCTTTCTCTTTTTCTAACTTTAGTAGCATTCTAGAAGGGAGCACAGTGTTGTGTTTAAATTTTACCTCATTCAATTTGAAGTTATTTTTTAAATCATCATTATTTAGACTTACATATTTAAATAAAATGTAAGTCCAGACGAACAACACAGCCAGTTAGATTCGGTGGCAGCCAAGTGGGCACACAGTCTCGAGGCCAAACAGCTGAGGCTTGCGCCTCCTGTGAGGTCAACCCTCATGGTGACACCCGGCTCTGGCTCCTTGGGAAGATGTTAATGCATTGGACATGCCCACTCCAGGAGACAGGAGGGGCGACCAGAAGCTGTTCCTTTGCATAGGAACTTCATTGTAGTTACATGGAATTGAAGCCATTTTAAAGGTCAAAGTATTGACTTTTTTTTTTTTTTTTTAAGATAGATTTATTTATTTATTTATTTATTTATTTATTTATTTATTTATTTATTTATTTATTTATTTATACAAGCACTGGGTACAGTCAGAAGTGCGGGAGGGTGAGAAGATTCACCAGAGCCAGAGCGGGGAACAGAAAAGACAGACTGATGAAACACACTGCTGAGGGGAGCAGCGGGCGTTGCAGGAGAGGTCTGCGCGCCATGTGGGACTCTCCCTGGCTGGCCAGGAATCAAACCAGGAGCTACAGAGGCTGCGCACAGCTTCGCAGCCCAGCGCTCAACTGCTGCGCTGCCAGGGGAGGCCCAAAGTGTTGACTTTAAATAGTCAAAATATAACACTTTGATTCTTCATACGTATAGAATACTCAGATGTGTAAAAATGCCATATTCCATAATTGCCTCCTACAGTTGGGTTTGCTTTAACTTGGTTAGAGCGTCGAATCACATAACTTTTATAAATTTTATTTATAAATGTAACTTATTTTATTACTGTTATTTTCTGATTGTCTTTAGCTTAATTTTTGTAACTAACATGTGTCTTTCTTGTGAGAGAAGCACATAGTCATGATTTCAGAAGTATCTGGTTGCATGGACCAGATGAGATTTTCATCTCATTTATAATTAAATATAACTTGTCCGTTGGATTATTTTTATTCTACTTTATTGCATTCCTCAGAGAAATTACAGGTTCTGTTCTCAACCATTGTAGAGCGAGTTGTATACACTTTTTGTTTTCCCAATTCATGTAAAAGTTTTATTTACCCCTTATTTTAGCCTATTAGCTACCTGATAGAATTATAGCTACAAAATAATATACATGCCTTAATTAAAAAATTCTTTATTGCTAAAAAAAAAATACTAGTCATCAGAGCCTTCAGCAAGCTGTGATCTTTTGGCTGGTGGTATGCCTTATAAAAACTGGGACATCTGTGAGGGATAGTAGAACCAGGTGTGTCATTGGCTATTTTAAATAATTATGATTAAGTAAGTCAACACCTGTTTATGTGGTTTTAATTATTCCATTTAACCACTTGGCATCTCACCATAATCATTTGGCATCTCTTTGTAATCTTGTGCAAAGAAGTCACCACTAACCTAGGCTTACAAAGTCACCTGCGTACCATGTACCTGTGATTAACAGCCTTTGATTCTGCCAACCAGTGACTGCTGACTTTTTGCTGTTGCAACACTTTACTGTTGTTGTTATGTCACAGGCTGTTGTAAGAACATTAGAGGGAAGAGTCCCTGTTCTCCAAAGACGATCTATAAGTTTTATTGATGAAAAGTGTTAATTTGTATGCCAACATACTTGAACTTGCACATATTCCACGCATAAAGTGGATTCAGAATTGATTAATGATAGGTAGGCTTTTTGAAGTCTACAAATCTTTGAAGGAGATCTGTGAATGATATTTCTCCCTTGTTGTGAGAAAATTTCATGCAAAGGTTTCAAACCTAGGGAATAATTTGATGTGGGACTTGGGATGAGACAGTTCCTGATACTGCGTGTGCAAAAGTAGATTAGTCAGCAACTCTGAGTGGCCGGTAGTTTAGCCTCATAATTTATACACATGTCGAAACTACTTTGATAAACCATGGTCCCTGTGATTACAAATGTGAATAATGCACATCCTCCTGCTTGACATTCCAGGTTGGTTGATGTGCGATGCATTGTTGAGAATCCTAAGGTAGAGGCTGCTTTCTGCTCTTGCACGTGAGGAAGTGATAGCCTGTGGGGCTCACCCAGTCGGCGGTGGAGTTGGGAGTCACTACCAGGCTTATCTTTAGGCACCACATCCTTGGGCGAGGAATTAAATTTTCTTTTGCTTTCGCCATTGGTAAACTGGTCTTACTGTTTCCACCATTCTACTAATTAAAACTTCTAAGTATTTAAATACTTTGAGATAGTTAAAAATACTGTCATAAGATGTTACATATAGTCAGCATTTTATACAACACTTTTCTTAGGGACTGATAAGGCTCTTATTTCATTTGCAGGCATTACTCCTGTTTTACGGTTAGAGCAGCATGAAGTTCTGTTTGTTAGCAGGAGCTTAGGGGTTCTGTGAGTTACCTCTCCTCCCTCAGTCCACGGGGAATGGTGAAGGCGGAGGCAGGTGTCCTCGGTGCTCAGAGTGAAAGATGTCGGCGGCTCGATGAGGCGGCCTGTATTGAAAGCACTCCATAAACTCTAAGGCACTGCGTACATGAAAGGCTTCCTAGCCGAACCACCTTGTTTATGCACGAGAAGAAAGGAGACACTGAGATATTAAGAGGCACCTAAGAGTATTAAAAAAACTTAAGTTCTACCACGTGTTCATCCAAGTTGAGCCATGAGGATGGAGGAAGATACCCTCTCCCATAGGCTGTCACTGGAATTGGTAAGCAGTGAGTGAGCCAACAATTGACTTCTTTTCTGCAGATCCCTGCCAGTTGGACAAATCCCTCCGGCAAATACCATATTGGCATAAAAAATGGCTACGACTTTTACCCAAAGGCTCTCAAGGAGAGGATACAGGTAATAAATACTTGCTCTGCTATGGTGACTTACTCCTTAAATTTTTTTTTAATATTTACTTTTATTTATACATGCACTAGATACAGTCAGAAGCACGGGAGGGTGAGAGAATTCACCAGAGCCAGAGCAGGGAGCAGAACAGGCAGACTGACGAAGTACACTGCTGAGGGGAGCAGCGGGCGGCAGGAGAGGTCTGCGCGCCATGTGGGACCCTCACCTGGCGGCTGGGGATCAAACCGGTGCTGCAGAGGCTGCGGGCAGCTTCGCAACCCAGCGCTCAACCACTGCGCCACCGGGGAGGCCCTACTCCTTAAATTTTATTCCTGCTGAAGAAAGACTTTTTTCATAAAATCTCGTGGTTTTTTTTTTTTTTTTTTTGGAGTCTGGGAGGCTTGCAAGCAGTGGCTGCTTAAAGGCAGACTGTTCCATGCAGTGTTACTCATTTAAAGTCGAGGTCCTTAATCTTGCACACATGGGTGAGGCTGGGGACGAGTACACTGAAGTGACATTCAAAGTTTTGTGTTTGTGTCTTTTTGGGAGGTGGGATATAGCTTCATTGAACTTTTAAAGGACTTTTTTTATCTCAAAAATTCTAAAGCCATTTGCTGTGCAGTCTGAACTGCTTCACTTGTTCATACTCCTGTAGTCTCTGCTGCAGCCCATTTTTCTTGATGTTTAGCAGCCCCTTGACCCCAGTAAGTTGTCACTCAGTACTAAGGAAAAGATTACTAAGAACTCCAGCAGCTGAACTCTAGGAAACACAAGCCTGTCATTAGAGAAACAAAAGGTGTAAATTGAGCGATGGTGAGCCTCCTTTAAAACAGTCCTACTCCCTGGGGCTTTAGGTGCTGCTGAAAATGTGTGAAATGTGAAATAACTGTGCTTGATTTAGCCAGAAGCCAAAAGTAGCCATTGAGAACCTGAAATGTGGTTCCTATGATTAAGAAATTTAAATTTTAATTTCAGGTGATTTTTTTAAAGAACTAAATAGCAGCCTATGGCTGCCATCCTTGAAAGCCTGCTTTGGAAGGCTCCTGGCCCACCGGAGCTGGCACAGCTCAGGGTTCCTGCTGTAGGGGAGTAAGGGCCTGCGTGGTGGGACCACTGGGTCTCTCATCCGAACACCATGTTTGCTACTTGCTCACCCCAGGAGTCCATGAACCATAAGAAGTTACATGCACAATATATAATGTATATCACCTTTACATATTGTCAGTTTGCAATCATTCTTTAAAGTGAGCACTTATGTAACTTAGCTTTGATTGGATACTGTTTCACTGTAAAATTTCAGACTTAATACACTTAGATAACACAGTATTTTATGCACTCTATTAAATCAACTAAGGTGCCAACTGATGTGCAAATACAGAGTGGCTGAGGCAGAGCAGATCCCTCTATCTGCTCAGCTGAGTTGATTGTACTAGGAAAGGGTTTATTTTACTAGCAGACTTCCTTGGAGAAGCTCGAGGAGTTCAGGACCCTGGATATAAAGCTGTGAGTCAGGGACTGGGGGAGAAGGCTGGAAGGGCAGGCAATGGAGGAAACCTACGTGGACGTCAAAATGCAGCCAAAGTCTGCTCCTGTGCCTGCTTGCTCTTCACTTCCCTCACGCTCCGGTTCTGCTGGGCCCCAGATGCAGTATTTTCTTTGTCTTTAAATGACTTGAAATCAGTTATATGACATGGTCTTCTTTCTTCTTGGAGATGGGAAGGATTTTAGGTAGGGCCTATGATGTATTAAAAAAATGCATTTGGATACGCCTTGTTTTCTTAACCACTATGTGCATTAAATTAATCAGTTTTTAATAATTGACCCCATTGTTCTACTACCTTGTTTATAAATGATTTTTTATAGCCTCTATATGAGAATTGTGTAGCATCATAGCCAATAACTAGATCCACATAGAAATAACTGTCTGGGTTTACCTAAGCACTTACCAGCCTCACTGTAGGGTACTTTTTCTGTCTCTGCAGAAAGAACGGAAGGAAAAAATCTGGGACCCTGTTCACAGAGTGGCCCTTGCAGAAGCCTGTAGAAAACAAGAAGAATTTGATGTTGCCAACAATTGCCCTTCTCAAGTTGGTGCTCGTCACTTTCATTTAAACATTATCATAGAACCACATTACCTGAGAGTTCTTAGAGAATTAATAGACTATTTGCTCACGACTTTTACTTGATTTTACTCATTTCTCCTTTATTTACCTGGAAGTCGATTTACACATGTATTTATCAACTTTCAGTGTCTTTATAATGCAGAAGATGCAACACACACACACATCAGCTGCACACGTGTGCACAGTCACGGGTGATGGCAATGTGGGCAGGGCCTGAGAACAGCTTCCTGTCCTTCCCCTGCCTCACCACTGCCCCCCTCCTACCCCCCAGAGGCCACCACTGCCCTGACTTCTGGTACTGCCGGATGATTTTGCTGCAGTTTGCTCACTTCTGCTGCTGTGTACGCCCCATTGTGTGGGGTTCACTGCAGCTTGTCATCCTCAGATCGATATTTGCTTGTTTTCTGTTACTGACTATTCTGTAAAACGCTCTTTTGAGTCTTCTGTGCATGGCCATGGTGGGTCCCGAGGTGCTGGTCCCAGTTCATGTTCTCCCGTTGTCCTGGCATCCTGTCCTTGGGTTTTTTGAATCAGTTTGTAAAATGAAAACAGTGTCTTAATCTATTATGAAATCAGTGCCTTAATCTATTATGAAATTGCAAGAACTGGTTGCAGCTACAGTCAGTGTTTCAGAAACTTTGGTTGCAGAAACATTGGCCTACACAGTATAACATAGCAAGCAAAACTCTCCAAAATGCCACCCAGCAGGGATAGCACAGCAGCACCACGTGCGCCCTCTGACATTCCCTTTTTATGCATGTGCGTGTCTTCTCCTTAATGAGAGTGGAATTTCATTGGTGCTCGTCCCTGGCTGTGTGTTAGCATCATGGCGAACAGCTTTCAAAATTGTCAGCATTTCTGTTCTAGAGAGAAATGAAATCAAAACCTTGCAGGGAGGCAGGCATTTTTAAAGCTCCCTGGCAACTTTAATTAGCATTTAGGGTCCCGGAACCACTGGCCTGTCTATGTGCAAACACTTCAGCTTTTATTCCCTGTTTGATGGCTATTTGACCTCCAGCCTCTTGTTGGAAACACTGTAGCGCAGGGTCTGCCTATCTCTGCTGACCTGATAGAAGCGGGAGCTGGCTTAGCTGTCCATTTGATACTCTATCCAAAAAAAGTCTATGTAATTGTCTTCCCTTAAAGGAGGAGTAAATGTTGAAGAAATAAAAAGGCATAACTAATATTTTGGGGAAATGTCAGCATTTTTATTCACTAGGATTATTGAGGTAGATGTAGCGTAATCTAATGTAATATGGAGTTTAAAAATGTAATTAGGATGAAGCCTCCAGAATTCTCATTTTTGTAGCTCAAAATGATTAAATAGCCACTTCTGTGTACATCATTATGAGTAGAGTATTTAGCATCATAAATTATCAAGAGAGAAGGTGATTCGTGGTTTTTGTTAATGTTTTTGGGTTCTTAAGAAACAAATCCGAAGCAGAAACAGTCCAGATACACAAACCTGAAGGTCGGGAGGTGGCGTGTGTAAGCACAGCGGGTGGCCGGCCCGGTCCCGGCCGGTCCTGTCCCCACCGGCCGCCTGGGGTCCTCCCCGCAGCAGATGGGTGAGTGGCCTAAAGAGGGACTAGAAGTATTTATTTTTTAAATATTAAATATACTGACAACCTGCTTCATGAAATTGAATTATGAGTTGCATAGCTTCAAAAAAAATCCTTGCTTATTCCCAAGGTTAAGTGGCTACTTTGGGGTGACATGGCGTCTTTGATAGTGTTAGCACAACTTTCCAAGAGCACAGAATATACTAATGTTAATGTATTTTCTAATTGCTTAGGCAAATAAACTAATCAAGGAGGAACTTCAAAGTCAAGTGGAGTTGCTAAATTCTTTTGAGAAGAAGTACAGTGACCCCGGGCCCGTGTATGACTGCTTGGTGTGGCACGACGGTGAAACCTGGAGGTAGGCTGGATGTGGCTTAGAGATCTCCGCTTTTAAATGGTTTTATCTGAAGAACATGAAACCCTCAGACCTGCTCAGATACTTGGTTAATGTGACATTAATATCATGAAGCAAACCTAGTTGAGAGCCAAATTGGGCCCAGGGTAGTTTGGACAAACCTCCTCCTGAGCTTAGTGTTTCATTCACGACACCTGACCCTTGTGTGTTTTCAAGAAACTTATTTCATTAACCAGCAGGTCATCACTAACCAGTAATAGCTGGTTGATCATTGGCCTGTGTAGAGAACTTCCCAACTGGGACTGGGCAATTTGGAAAGGAATTGCAGCAAAATGTAGCAGCCCATCTGCGGTAAGCATTTTAAGGGCAAAGAGAGAACGTTGGACAAAGGTTTACGAGTAGAGACAATGGTGAGGTGACATGAGGCTGTGCAGGGCAGCCTCCCACAGACGTGGGTGCCAAGTCATCTCTGACAATGTTCATGAGAGGGTTTCAAGGAATGAGAATCCGCGTTCTCTTTGGGACTGAGAATGGCAGTAAAACATTCTTGTATAGAATGATATTTCAATCCAGATGCTATTGAATGTTATTGCAGCTTTTGTGGGTATTCAGGAATGTTTTGGTGAGTGTCCATGAGGGTGTGCCCTCATCAGGAACAGTTTTTTTTTTTAGAAACTTTGCAGAAAACTTAGATAAATCATTGGTGATATTAAATAGTTTTCATGAGTACCATTCAGTAAATTCTGGTACATGTACCATGTGGTAGTGTGAACCTGTCATTGACAGTGAGGAGCCTTTGGTGAGTTTTATGAGACTGACACGCTACCTACTGCGCTAACGAGGCACCTCTTTGGTGAGTTTTAACGTGGGCAACTAGGCAAGGTTAAATGTGAAGAAAAGACTAGGTAGAGAACTGAGTGTGTGCAGAAAAGACGCTTCAAAATATACTGCAGGAAAACTAAGGGAATTCTAAACTAGCAGCTGGACTTGGGGAGTAGTTTGTATGAGTGGAGAGTTGTCAGTTAGTGTGTTTCCTGTGGGTGCTGAAAGCACTGGGGTTGCTTTATCCTGCAGGAAGAGATGTGGGGTCAGGATGTCCAGTTACCAGTATGTTTCCAAAAAGGTTTCCTTGGTTTTTAAGTTTTTTGGCAGAGCAAGTGAAATGTCATCATAATTTGCCAACAGCACTTCTAAAACATCTTTGAGAATTTTTGTGTTGGGAATGAAATTTTATCAAGCATTAAATAAAATATGAAACCACCAGAGTAACATTCAAGAAAATGTTATGATCAGTGAAAAAGACAGCCGACTTGTGCTCTTAGATGCTTCTAGGAGTAGTTTGGCTTTTTTAGCATGTAGGGCTTTAAGATCCCCAGTCACCTGCGGGGGAGAGCGAGGGCTCTCATCCCAGAAATGCCTGCCGTCTCTGAGGGGAGAGGCCGTGTCCTTAACTGCCCTGGTTTGTTTTTACAATGTCCCTCCACCCAGGTTCCAACTAATTGTTAAACTCATGTCTGCCCTTAGCAGGAAACCTAGTAGAACTCTTCTCTCAAGTGTTGGTCAGGACGTATAGTGTCAAACTCACTGACACTCAATTTGGAGTAAAAACTGCTCGAGAGAAACACCTACAGAAGATTACATAAAGCAAAGACCAATAATTGGTTTCTTTTCAGTAGTTTTGTGACCTTGTTATTTCAGGTTTTCTTTGAGATTTGGATGAAACCTGCGGATTTTTCCCCAGGAAATTGGACAAAGAAATATATGAAAAACAACCTTTTCCTCCCCAATCTCAGATATGTACTCTAGTCCTGTCCACTAACCTTGATTTCATATTCCTTGTCTCTGTACCCTAGCAGTTAAGCCAGCCAGACCTTCAGAAAGCGTAGCCTCATGCCCCATTCACACCTGCCCACCGTGGAGTCGTGTAGTGAGAAAAGCAATAATTTATTATCCTGGTGGTCAAATTGTCGAGTCACTCTTGTTGATGGTGGTGAGAAGTATGTTATATGTCGTGCTGTTTACCGTGAGAATGTTGTTAAAGATACCGATTCATTCTTTTGACACATCATCATTTGACAAATAGTGAGAATCTTCTTTGTGCCAGGTAGTCCCTGTAGAAGCTGCTCCGTGGACTCTAGGCTCCAGAGCCAGTGTGGGAGCATTGGGACCAGCCTAGGAAACAACAGCACAGGTTGGCTAAGAGAAGGGGCCAGGCGGGGTTGAAGCTAGAGGGGAGAGATCCACAGGCCCATGGAGGGACTCGCCGGTGAGGTGAATAGAGGATTTCAGAGATGATTTCCAGGCTGGGTGCTGGTACCTGCTCCCTGCCAAACTGGAAGGCTTGGCTGTGTACAGTGTACCTGCTATCCTCAGTCCTGTCCCCACTTGATATGCTACTTGTTTTCTCCATGCCTCCTAGATGTTCAGTCTCCTCTGTTTTGCTATATTGTGTGGCTTTTTGAAATACTGTAAATCATTGTAGCCACAGATTTATTGGAACCTACAGAAAAACATAATGTTAAATCATGGTAGTTAGCACAAAAGCATGTGCAGTATTAATGGCGAAGCAGATGCCTCTCTATGCTGGACCTGTGGGCTGCCATGGGCCCTCCAAGCAGCTGCAGTCTCCAGGATTTGTTCAAATATACGTCTTCTGCTTTGGGAAGTGTTCACATAGGTCTAAATAGCTAAAAACATAATAATGACCCTTCAACCATGCACGTTCCATTTATTTAAGATTTACTTGGTTTTAATCAGACTGTCTTCTAAAGTGTTTAGAATATGTATTTCAAAAATTACAGAACTTAGTGTTGGAAGAGCAAACAGGAAAGTGACCATAAACTAAATAGAAAATTCCTTTTGTTAAAAACAAATGTTTGCCTAAGGCTGTGACTATTCTGGGTGGCACCAGAGCTTCATGTAGTTTGGGTAGTTCAAGGAGCCTGCACAGCTCTTGGCTCCTGAAGCCAGTTGTACAGATCGTTGTACAGTTGTAACAGGAAGCGAGGAGAGGCTGTGTGTCAGGCCCTGCTGCCCTGGCCACAGCTCTGGGCTGAGCTCTGGCCTGATTTCCTCAGCAGAGTCGATGGGCAGCTTCCTACGGCCCTGGCTACGTGGCACCACTCGGGAACCTGTTCCTGTGCTATCTTGCCTGGTGCTCACGGACACGTCAGTGAAACGGGTGTGAATAGGCAGGAGCTGCCTGCTGTGGGGTCACGGGGTAGTAGAAAAAAGACCTGAAGACAAGATTACGTGATTCTTAGGTAAGAAAAGGGTACATTTGTTATCTGCTCTTAATTCTTGATTTGCAGAGCCTGCATTGACTCAAATGAAGACGGGGACTTGAGTAAATCTACTGTACTGAGGAACTACAAGGAGGCCCAAGAATATGGTTCTTTCGGCACAGCGGAGATGTTGAATTACTCCGTGAACATCTATGACGACGGGAACCTGCTCTCCATTGTGACCAGTGGAGGTATGCTGCCAGCTTCACCAGTGAGAGAGAAATTTACAGCGTGGGAAGATAATGCTTTCCTGCAGCGAAAAGCAACCTTTTAGATAACTTAATCGAGCTCTTCCCACTAAAGAATTCACTCTGGAATGATGGTATTTACTCACGGGCAAGGTGTTGTTTTTGAAAATCCTAACCGTATAAGACCCATTCCAGGAGCACGAGCCTGGTCCAACCTCAGAAACTCCATTGTCATAACTCATAGGTTATGAATAGTAATTTCACCTCAAATATTATCCCTGGAGAAAGCCACCCACGGTGCCGAGTGTTAGGTGTGAGGGTCCTCACCACAACATGCTGTGCAGTCTCAGAAAAGTTGGAAACTAAATACTCAACAAAAAGAAAAGGTTTTTTTGATGTTTTAATCAGAATGGAATATTACACAGCAATCAAGGTGAGTAAATGTACACATACTGTGTTCATGAATCTCAAATACGTAAGTTCTTAAACTTTTGATACACACACACAGACACACACGGACCACACAGAGCTGTCACCACAGTGTAGACAATGAGCACATTCTCCACCCACCACAAGTTTGCTTACCTTTGTGATCCAGCCCTGTCTCCACCTGCATCTTCAGGTAGCAACTGAACTGCTTTCTGTCCCTCTAGAGTACTCTGGACATTCTGGAATTTTATACAAGTGGAATAAAAACAAGTGTGGGATCGCTTTCTTAGTACTCTGAATTCCAGTGTTGTGAAATTTGTATTTTTGTCGTCAGTAGCCTGTTTCTTCTTGAGGAGTGAGATGGCATCCCGGGTTCACCATGGCTCATTTATCTAGTCATCGGTTGGTGGGTGTTTGGGTTGTTCCAGGATTTGTGTATAATGCTCCGTGTGGAAATGTGTTTTTATTTAACTTGGGTGGATATCTAGGAGAACGGCTTGGACCTGGTAGGTAAATATTTAACTCATTAAGCAGCTTCCAAGCTGCTCTCCACAGTGGCTGCACCATTTATGCTCCACCAGCAGGTGGTGGTGTCTGCAGGTGCAGGCAGCCCGCAGACCTGTACGTGGTGTTGACAGGTGTTTTGTTGGAAAAGAAAAAAGCGCTACAGTTACATGTACTGCAAATACCCTCACCTCTGTGACTGGCATGTTCACTCTCATTGAATGGGGTAGCAGGATAGTGAGTGTCGTTCAGAGTCTTGTCTGTGTGTGAATAGGCTAAGAAACAAGGTAACACTGCGCTGTTAGATAGTAAGATGAACGTGTTTTCATTCAGTTATTTTTAGCATGACCCACACGGTGCCAGTTGAGTTGATGGTTAAAGTTTGGACCGTTTGAGAACACTTTGTCACGCCCCCCCCCCCCTTTTGCCTCTAGGAGCGCACGGGACACACGTGGCCAGTATAGCTGCGGGACATTTTCCAGAGGAACCTGAGCGCAATGGGGTTGCTCCTGGCGCTCAGATTCTGTCCATCAAGATTGGTGACACCCGACTGAGCACAATGGAGACGGGCACCGGCCTCATCAGAGCCGTGAGTGTGTGGGCTTGGCTGGCGAGAGTGATGGCTGCAGACCCCGGGCGGTCATGGGCAGGTCGAGGGCTCTCGGTTCACCGAGAATGTATTCGCCTGTACTTGGTGGACGAGGCCTACTTTCAAGAAGCACAAATGCTTACTTCGTTTATTAAAAATCATTCAGATAGTTTTTCAGTGTGACCTTTATTATGAAGGTTTTCAGTATAGCCTTCCTGAAAATGTACTCATTTCTAGTAAATCCCTTAGCAAACTATTTTGAGATACTTGAAAAAAAAAGTCTCTTAGCCAGCCTGCTCCATCAGCCTGAGATTTTAGCTAATATTCTGCCTGTCGTTGTAAGCATAATTGTGTTTTACCCGAACTTCGCTGATGTTAGAGTCAGGAAGAGCCGTTCTGTGCCTCTTCATCCCTCCCTCCCCCCACACCAGCGTGTCCGCCTGTGCCTTGGACGTGACCCGCAGCGCAGTTGCTTAAGAATATGATTGGTGAAGAAACTGTGGGATCCCATGCCTTTATGTTAGTGGCTAATCTGTTTCTAGAAGCTTCTGCCTAAACTAGACTCTTAATCTTTTGAATAGATGATAGAAGTTATAAATCATAAGTGTGATCTTGTCAACTACAGTTATGGAGAAGCAACTCATTGGCCAAATTCTGGGTGAGTGTTCCGTGACGCTTGTTAGCCTTAGCGCCTTGCTGGTGAAGAGTGTGGTGAGTCTGTCACAACGGGGGTGAATGTCACAGCTGAAAAGGAGTCGCCGCTGTGATTGGATGGGGAGATGCCTCTCCGGGCCTCTGGCCACAGGGCCATGGTCAGGTTGTTGTCCTCACTGCCCCAGCCAGGCAGAGCCCAGGTCTGCCTGTCACTGTGACCCCTTGTCCAGAGCAGCCTCACCCTTCTTGCAGACCAACTCTAGACTTGCCGAGACCCTGCCCCCCCTTACTGATACTGCACCTCATCTGCCAAACTCTCGGGCCCACTGACCTTAGTTTGTCACTCCCTCAGCCTTGTCTTCCACACCCTGTCTGGCCTGTCATTCCCGGGGAAGCAGGTCACCCCTCTGTTGTCTGGGAAACCTGCAGTGCCTGTCCCTTGTCCCCTCAGCCGAGGTCCACACCCACAGAAAAAAGAAAGGTCTGCGGAGGGGACTCTTTCCTTCCTCAGTCATCTCTCCTCCTCTGCCCGGGGGGTTCCTCACCAGGGTGGTCTGGTCTCCACCTGCCTCCTTGACGGAGCTGCTGGCTTGAAGGCTTAGCCAGAGCGCCCCTCCGTCCCACGCCCTTCAGCTCACCCGGCACTGGCTGTAGTTGGGCGTATTCACGGCCCCATCTCTGGGTCCTCCCTGTCCCCCCCCCCTTCCAAACACGCCTTCCGTGCATCTGTGTCTTTGGCCAAGTCCAGTGGCTGGACCTGAGCGCATGCTTCCCTGCCTCGCCTTTTTTATGCCCTACTAAGAGCCACTTGAAATGACTGTGTAGAGTATTCCCTGTGGACCACCCCCACCCCACCCCCAGGCTGCTCAGAGGCCTCTCTAGGTCCTGAAGCTCTTCAGTGAAGTTCTGTCAGAATGGACATCTGACTGACCAGACCCTCTAGTTTGCTGTTAACAAGTCATTTCCTCACGTTCTCAGCCTTCTCGTGAGACCCCTTTCCCGCCTTGGGCGTGCCCGGCCGCCTCTGCCATCTGCTCTTTTTCTCCAGTCTTCTGCTTACGTTTTTCTTTCTCTCCCCCCGATACTCGTCCTGTCACAGCCATCCCCTCACGCCCTTCCCTGTGCGCTTCCAGCTTTGGACTGTCTGTTGGCTCTTGACTTTTTTTCCCCGCTCCATTTCTTCCCTCGTGATCTGGCTTCATCGTCTTTAAAACATGAGCACATTTTTCTTGGCTGTCAAGCTCTCACCAGGTTCCTTATATGACGTAGGAAAAGGAAGTGAGATCTTTTAGAGCCCAGTCACTGCCCCGTCCTGATAACATTTCAGTATTTCCTTTCAGTCCTGTTCTAGTTTGTCTCCCCCCTTATTTCAGTTTTGTGGCTAGCGTTTTCCCCACATCTCGCCACAGCTCCTCTGCTAGCAATAAACCCAGCAGGGTGCCCGCTAGATGCCGGTCTCGCCCCCCAGGGGCGGAAGTGCCAGCCTCGGTGTTGTCGGCGCTCGGGGCCTTGGTGGGCACGCGCCCCTGACGCTGTGTCCGGGGGCTGCTGCACGCCTTGGCACTGAAGCCCGACTTGCGTTCTCGTGCCTGGAAGCTAAACTGATGAGAGTGTTTTACACGAATCATATTTGAAAATATTTTCATACTGTAACATTTCTTGAAAAGTAGGACAGCTCTGTATGTCTAACGGTATTCTCTCCCTCTCAGGAGGATCTGCGAAGTCATTAGTGAAGCGGTGTGGAAACATAATATAATTTATGTGTCCAGCGCGGGGAACAACGGCCCGTGCCTCTCTACGGTTGGTTGTCCGGGCGGAACGACGTCAAGCGTAATAGGTTAGTTTCCTGTTGTCTGTCTGTCGCTAAACAAATAGACGTGTTTAACCACAAGCCAACAGACGTGCTCAGGTAATCCAGCACCGGTGGTGTGTACGTGCTGTAGCCGAGACACACATTCGGTGACTCTTTCCTACACCCTCAGGAAGCTAAGGTCTAGGCGGCAGCCCCTGGTCCGGAGCGTGCTCTGAGGTGAAGTGGCGTGAGTGGTCTCGGGGAAGCACAGATCCAGTGCTTGGAGTCCGATGTGCAGTGACTTCTGAGGGGGGGATGAGGTGGGGCTTTGGGGAGACATGAGAGTGAGGATTTCAGTCGGTAGAAAGGAGGTGAGATCTCGGCTCAGTGAAGATGCATGTAAAACTAGAACCCCTGGGGGAAAAAAAAAACTGGACCCCATGTTTTGTGTCCACTTGTTCATGAGGCCGTCCACCCACAGGTGTTGGTGCGTACGTTTCTCCCGACATGATGGTCGCTGAGTATTCCCTGAGAGAGAAGTTACCCGCCAATCAGTACACGTGGTCGTCTAGAGGGCCCAGGTAGGTTGAGAGTATTATGAACATTTGGTTCAATTTGATGTGCTAGGGAAGGGTCATAGAGATTAGATCATTTTACCAGTTCTTTCCATTAGTTGTTAATTTTTACCTTTTCAGCATTTTCATTTTTTGTTTTTGTTTTTGTTTTGCTTAAGAGACATTTATTATTATCTTTATAGTTACTGATTCTGTCATTTTTTTAAATGGCAGTAACACTGGTTTACATCATCCTTTGTGTTCTAGAGGTACAGACTGTTCCCTTTCATAAGGCACCCACCACCAAAACACCCGGAGTTCCTCAAAAGTCAGCTGTGCTCCCTCCCCACTCGGGTCTGCCCTCCCCTCTCCTGAGTTTGTTAGCTTGGTTTTATCTGACCCTTTGTTTGGCTTTTCTGTATTCCAAGTGACACTATCCAGCGTCTGTCTTCTTCTTTTGTTTAGCGTAATCACCTCCATCTATGTTGCAACAAATGGCAAAAGTTTATCTTTTTTCATAGCTCTGTGCTAGTACATTGTGTGTGGGGGGGCGGGGAGGGGTGTATACTCACATACATACTCACATATATACCGCATCTTCCTGATCTCGTCTGTGTTTGGGCACTTACTGTGTTTCCATAGCTTGGCTGTTGGGAATAGTGCTGCAGCTGACAGGGGAGTGCATGTTTCCCTTCAAAGTAATGTGTGTGTGTTCTTCAGGTGGGTCATCGCGGAGTGGGATTGCTGTGCTGTACGTACGTTAGACCCATTTTTTAACCTTTTGAGAAACTTCCATACTGTTTTCCTTAGAGGCCGGACCCGTCTCCATCCCCATCAGTGGAGTGCAGGAGTTCCTTTTTCTCTACATCCTCACCAGCACCTGTTGTCTCTGGTCTTTATGATATGGGCCAGTCTTCCATGTGTAAGGAGTCTTGTGGTCTTGCTTTGTATTTCCCTGACAATAAGTGATGAGGAACATGTTTTCATGTGCCTGCTGGCCATCTGTATGTTGTATTTGGAAAGCTGTTGTGTCCATTTTTTGATTGGGTGTTTTTTTGTTGTTGTTGAGTTATGTAGAGTTGAGTTGTCAGTTGAGTCTTTTTGTGTGGAGTTGTTTTTTTTTTTTAATGATTTATCTATTTATGCACACAAGAACTGGGCTACAGGCCAGAGATGGGAGGGTGAGAGGATTCACCAGAGACAGAGTGGGAAACAGAACAGGCAGAATGACTGAAATCCACTGCTGAGGGGAGCAGCAGGTGAGGCAGGAGCCGTCTGCCGTGCCATCTGGGCAGCTCTCTGGCCGGGGATCAAACCCGTGCTGCAGTGGCTGTGGACAGCCCCATAGGTCGTGTCTCAACCCTTGCACGGTAAGGTGTGCAGGTATTACCTCCATTCAGTAGGGTGTCTTCTTTAGTAACAGTTTCTTTTGCTGTGCAGAAGCTTCTGAGATTGATGTACCCCAATGTTTCTGTTCTCTGTCTCCTTGCTGCTGGAGATGAACCCACAGATACATCACTGAAGCCAGTGTTGTGGGGTGTTTTGCCTGTTTTCTTCTATGTATTTATGGTTCCAATTCTTACCCCTTTTGAGTTGATTTTTGTGTGTGGTTTGAGATAGTGTTCTGGTTTAATTTTTGCATGAAACTGTCCCAGTTTTCCCAGGACCACTTATTAAAGAGGCTTTCCTTTATCCATGTTACATTCTTGCCTCCTTTTCATAGATTAACTGTCCACAGAGGTCTGGGTTTATTTCCGGAGTCGCAATTCTATTACAGTGTCTATGTGTCTCTCTTATTTTTTTTTTTTTTCCCAGTACCATGCTGTTGTGCCTATTATAGCTTTCTGGAATAGATTGACGCCTGGAAGTGTTATGCTACTATTCTTCCTCTTTTTGTCAGGATTGCTTTGGCTGTTTGCAGTCTTTTGTGATTCCATATGCATTTCAGTAATGTTTGCTCTATGCTAGTGAAGAATGCCGCTGAAACGTTGATAAGGATTCCACTGAACCTGTATATTGCTTTGGGTAGGAGGGCCATTTTGACAATATTAATCCCTCCAGTCCATGAGCAGGGAGTATCCTTTCATTTCTTTTGTCTTCTTCTATTTAAGAATATCTCAGAGTTTTCTTTGTATAGGTCCTTCTCCTCTTTTGTTGAGTGCACTCCTAGCTATTTGTGTGTGTTTGTATGTAACAGTAGATGGGTTCATTTTCTTGCTTTGTTATTGTTCTACCTCATTGTTTGCATATAGGAAAGCAACTGATTTTTGTGTATTGATATTGTAGCCTTCTACTTTACTGAAATGATACATTGTTTCAGTTAGTTTTTTAGCAGAGTCTTTAGGGTTCTCTGTGTCTATTATTTATACATATTTCTGTTGGCCATGCTGTATTAGGCTTCAGACAAAGGGTAAAACTTCTGCTTGTCATTCAGAGAGTCTGAGCAGAGGCAGTCATTTATTTTCCTTCTATGTAAATATACCTGCCATCTTTCACCTTCCCAACATAAGCCCAGGTTCATACACATGTGCACACACACACACACACACACGTGCACACGCTCACACAGACATTGTTCACTGACAAGGAAGAGAATCGCTGCACAAAGGGGAAATGTTGACTCCAGTGACAGCACATGGCCCTGGTTCTGCCCTGAAATGTATCTGACCAGTGGCCTTTTCATAACTCCCCATGGGCGTCTGGTTTTCGCCATCATAAGCAAACTTTCATGGCTTTGCATCCAGCGCTGATGGGGCCCTTGGAGTGAGTATCAGTGCCCCCGGAGGAGCCATTGCTTCTGTCCCAAACTGGACGTTGAGAGGGACTCAGCTCATGAACGGGACATCCATGTCTTCTCCCAATGCGTGTGGAGGCATCGCCCTAGTACTTTCAGGTAAGGACGCTGCTTAGCACGCTCCACGGCTAACTGACTTCCACTTGTAACTTTCCAGTAAAGAGATGGTAAATTTTGACTGTTCCACATGTACCTCAATCACTTTCATATTGCTTTTCTTAATGAAATAAAAGTGGCATTGCAAAATGGATTTTAAATGTATCGTTTTAGAGTTCACCTTAGCCTTGGTTCTAAAGGCTATGATTTATTGCTAGTTAGGTTAAGTGGCAAGTATCTGGACAGTTAAACTGTTGACTGTTCCCTGGCACCACCCTGGGAGATTTTAATCTATCTCAGTGCCTGGATCTGGTCTCAAAAGGTTTTGCTCCAATTGGTCTGTGGTGAGGCCTCAGCATCTGTTTTGCCATTTTGTTTTTAAGATCTTTTGGTGTCTGTAACATGCAGTGGGGTTGAAAACCTCTGCCAGCCACCCTACCGACTGACAGCAGTGTTATAAACAAGATGTCACCTGGGCGCCATTGGCATCGGCCTCATACCCTCGCACCAGCTCTGCGCAGCTTGTGTGGCGCCTTTGCGTAGTGGCACACGGTGACTTTTGTTGAGTGAGGTCTCTGGGTAATGTTACCAGTTTGAGCCAGGTGGTTTAGTTCTGTTTAAAAAACAACAAATGTTGAAAAAAAATCAGTGTTGAAACATAAGACATGAAGGTCGGAGATTGTGCCTGTGGTCTGTACTGGAGAGGATAACAGGGTTTCAGATTGCAAGTTCTCTTAACACTACCCTTTATATTTTTTTTTGGATCTTAGGTCTGAAAGCAAATAATGTTAACTACACGGTTCATTCAGTCAGAAGAGCTCTGGAAAACACTGCAGTGAAGGCTGACAATATAGAAGTATTTGCCCAAGGGCATGGTATCATTCAGGTATTGCTGTTTGTCTGAAAAATAGCGTGTAAATCATTGAGATAAGACCTTGGCTATTGCTAAGTGAGATTTCCTTTTACGTAAGGAGAGTCGGGTATATCTATTTCTAGATCGTATGACCAGAGTAATTTCTGGATTGTAAGCAAAGAGGGTAGGAAAACAAATTTTTAGTTCAGACAAACTTGTTGCACTAAGATAGGGAAATATATATAAATGTAGGACATGAAGTGGGTAGAAATTTAGCGCGGGGCAGAGGATAAAAGCTGGTCAGACCTCTGCAGGTGTTCCTGACTGTGGTCACATGGGACTATAGTATGAAGAGAGTGGAGTGGAAAGTGATTGCATTGGTTAGACTGGTATTTTCTGCCTAAAAAGGTAGAATTGCCATCTTTATTGGAGTTACTAAGTCGTTTAGAAAGGTGAACGTAGAAACTAACTTTTTGCTCATATTTTGCTCCAACTAAAACCAGATGGATAATTTACAACTAAATATTTTCATGCCCCAACCTTACTATTTGTATTCTTTTAATTAGGTTGATAAAGCATATGACTACCTCGTTCAGAATACATCATTTGCTAATAAATTAGGTTTCACTGTTACTGTTGGAAATAATCGTGGCATCTACCTCCGAGATCCTGTTCAGGTGGCTGCCCCTTCAGATCATGGTGTTGGCATTGAACCTGTATTTCCAGAAAATACCGGTAAGTAAGAAGCAGATGCTAAGCTGAAGCGCTTAGCTCCCATGTATGGTTTTATAGAATAGTGTTCTACAGGGAAAACGCAAGTTGGCCATGTTATTTTAAGCCTTACGGATTTGGGGGAGAGGGAAGGGTCCCTGGGATCCCAATGTGGCCACTCAGTTGGCATCTGACTGCCAGGAAAAATGCAAGAACGGGTCTTAGTGACCTGGAGCTGTATTCCGTGTTCTGTGTGGATAATAAAGCTTCAAATTCCTTTTCTTCCCCACTTTCACCACTTGGGCTTAAGACAAAGTTCTCATTGGGGAGTGGGAAGTAGATGCGGCTGGGAGAACCTCAGCTCGGGGTGTGCGCAGGGTTCATGGCCGTATCCGGGAGCCTCCGTTTCAGTCAGACGCTGGTATCCGCGTGGGCGTCCCGGGGAGTGTGCTCTGTTGCGTGAGTGTGGAGTGAGTCTCGGTGGCTACTAGTGGGCAGGGTCCGTGACTCTCTCTAAGTCATGTTTTGGAAGGCCACACCTCGTGGGCCTTAGCTGCCCACGCTCATTTTTATAAGTTTTCTTGATAGAAGATAAAATGCTGTTAAAGGGGAAGACATGGGAGAAATACTAATTGTGACATTTTGGTCTTCTTGTTGCCAGAAAACTCTGAAAAAATATCCCTTCAGCTTCATTTAGCTTTAACTTCAAATTCATCTTGGGTTCAGTGCCCCAGCCATTTGGAACTCATGAATCAGTGTAGACACATCAATATACGTGTGGATCCCAGAGGCCTAAGAGAAGGATTGCATTACACAGAGGTATTGGGGACCTTTATTTTCACTTCCTTCACTCTTTGCCGGGTTAAACTGCTGCGCGTGGCAGCTCTTGCCCATCAGTGTCAGTCAGGCAAGCGTTGTCCTGCGTGCACTTGTTCAGGTTATTTGCCATGAATTACATGACCCAACATCAGAAAACTGATGTCAACTTGTGCTTCGGATTTTTAAATTCAAGTATTAGATTGATTTGTTCTGTGAGTAGGTTACCTTTTGACTTTTTTTTCCTGTCAAGCTTGTTGACTGATACTGAGATACAACTTTCTTTTCAAGGTGTGTGGCTACGATATAGCATGCCCTAACGCCGGCCCTCTGTTCAGAGTTCCAATCACCGCAGTTATAGCAGCAAAGTAAGTAACAAGTCCCTAACAGCTTACTCTTACATGGAATTTTTTTAATGGCTATTTGGGAAATAATGTGAACTTCTAAAGGATAAATAAGCAGAACCAGAAACCAGAATTCAGTTGTGTTCCTTGCTCCAAGTTCAAGGTGGTGCATAGTCCATTGTGTTTGTCTTTGTCACTGAGAGTATCACTGATGTCGTCTGTCTCTGCCTGCCCCTCCAAGGGAGTGGCTTCCCACCCCACAGGGAAGCCTCCTAACTGCCCCCACTCTGCGGGCATCTTAGCCTCCATCTTGCCCATACCTCGGCAATATTTGACTGTAATATTTGCCCCCTCTGCCGCCACATTGCCCCCTTGTCTTTTGGGAATACTGTTGTCTCCTTCTGCTTTTTCTTTTGTTTTTTTTCTTTTTGTTTTTCTCATTCCTTCGGCTTTTTCTTGATTCTTCCCCTTCCATGTTGTCTTCTGCCCTGGAACCAAGGAACTCAAACGCATTAGTATCACTCCTATTTCAAATACATTGGTGGTACACCCAAGGGTCAAGATCATGTCCTTAAAATGGTAATCAGTGACCCTTCAAACCCAGAGTTTGCTCTTTATGGGCACCAAATCAGCATTCCAGCCGAGATGTGGCCGCAGCACCACTCCCAGGACCGTGATTCCCAAGGACCGGCGTGCGTGCTCTGGTGACTCTCCTGTGGTTCCCTCTCTTAATGAGTAGGCGTGTTCCTGGTCTTCCTTCTTGCTGCTTCATGGTGCTTTTTTACACATCCGTGGCACAAACTTTAGCTGACATGGTGTGTTATTTATCTGCTTCACCCCATTTTGACTGTGAGCCTACAGGAGACACAGGGGCTATCTCATGCATTCCTAAATGGAGCCCACTGCATAGTACATGCAGCTCAGGTGGCTCAGTAGGTGACAGGCAGGATTGTTGTACAGTTAGTTCCTAGTAACTGCGCCTCCTTATAGTAGATGCTCATTAAATGTCTGTCATGCTGGCTCGAATTTGTCCGCAGCAGCTCATCAGACATTTCAGGTCTCCCCAGTCGGTGGTGACACATTTCACCTTCGTGTCTCTCTGGTTTCTGCCAACAATGTTATGGAAGCATTTTTCTTCTTTACTGTGCCATTATGGTATGGGAGCACTGGGGAGCTACAGAGGAGTGACTTAACCAGTCCCAGAGCTACCCAGCAGTGCCCCCGACCTTCAGCGCTGATTTTTTTGGACTTTGTGGGTCCTGGCGATTATAGAATCCTATGAGTTTTGTGTAATTCCTTTAACAAAAACCATAAAAGAGGGTTTTTTTTTTTAAGAGTGTATGTCTTACAGACACATTATAAAGTAGACAGTGAGCAGGAAAACCATTTATAGTGGGCTATCCAGAGTTTATTGCTGCTAACATTGCAAAAATAAGAAAAATCACACAGCCAGCTTTTTAGTCACTCTGTTTAATGAACTGTTAAAATGTAATGTGCACGTGAGCTGATAAAGCTTTTTTGAAATGAGAGTACCATATCTAATCACTTCTTTCTATTATTTTTCAGAGTAAATGAATCATCCCATTACGATCTAGCTTTTACAGACGTTCATTTTAAACCTGGTCAAATTCGAAGGCATTTTATTGAGGTTCCTGAGGGTGCAACGTGGGCTGGTGAGTAAAAGTAAAGTCAGTCTGACCCCTGATCTTTAGGAACATGGTCTCTCAGCTGGGATCCTGACGCTTGGAGCTCACGGGTCTGTAGTGCACACTTCACTCATGACTGCACCCCCGGTATCTGTACCCACACTTGCTGTTAAGTTCCTGACTTTTTAAACATCTAGTACTGTTTTTGCATTCGCACATCATCTAGGCTCTCTTGAGCTGTTTTAGTATTCAGGGTGTTGACTTAGTTTAGGATCATGCCTTACCAGTCAGCAGCAGAACCAGGGCTGTGTGGTCCAACAGCTCTAGGCCACTCTTGGCATGGGCCCCTGGGGTGTCTGACGGTGGGCTGTCATTAGCTGCATGTGGGGGTGATTAATACTGAAGCTGAAGCCATTGAAAAGTAAATGTTGGTCAGTATAATGTCCCATGTGAGGCCTGTTTAGTTGGCTATGGGAACTAAACATAGTTTATACGTCTGATATAGGTGTGTGCGCCTCAGCAGCCGACTGTCAGAAGCGTGTAGGACTTAAATAACCAAGAGGGGGAGGCTGGGCGGCGTTGTTGATGAGGTTGAATGTATAGATTCTGTGAGAATTCAGCCATGATGACAAATAGAGGTTTCCAAAATAAAGTCCTCTTTCAGGAGAGAGGATCTAACAAGGTAGCTGAGGAAGGTATTTTGTGTTTGCCTGCGGGCTGCTGGCTGTCTGGTGGTGTTATCTGCAGAGTGGCTCTTCATTGTAACACTGATGGACTTTCATCCTGTAGCTAAACCTCCACACTCTTTCGGTTTATTTTCTGTCGACTCTTTGTATTTTAGGAAATACGTTTCCTTTGAATGTATCATTTTATCCTTGCTATACGCCCTAGCAAGTAGGCATTATTAAGCCATTTTGTGGGCATTTTCCATCTTACTTCTCTGAACCCTCACTTCTTCTTACTTTTAGAAGTTACAGTGTGTTCCTGTTCTTCCGAGGTGGCCGCCAAGTTTGTTCTTCATGCAGTGCAGCTTGTGAAGCAGAGAGCCTACCGAAGTCACGAGTTCTATAAGTTTTGTTCCCTTCCAGAAAAAGGCACACTGATGGAAGCTTTTCCTGTCTTGGTACGTTTTAATTTATAGTTTGAAATGCTAAAACAGTTTGTTTTTGCTCTGAGCTAGGACTAAGTATTTGAACTTGATTGTATAGTTTGTATTTGCTGCCTGTATGTCCTGTTAATGCCAAAGTGGGCAGGGGGTAGCTGGGGCACTTGAGACCAGGTCACCATGAAATACGGGCCTCTTTAATTCTCATGTGACTCAGCCAAAGTGTGGGTCAGCTAGATCCTGATGCCTTCTAACTGGACCCCGACTGAGGTGGTTTCCTTAACACACAGTAGGTGATTTCCTTATTCAGGACTTCCCTACGTGTCGCTCAGATTGATTTTTTTCGTTAATACCTGTTGTTAAAATCCATGAGGTTAATTTGCTTCAACAGTGAAGTGGCTGCTGCTTCCTGCCTGGGTGGCAGGAGGGCGGCCCTGAGCTCACAGAAGGAACTGCCTCAATACTCCCCGCAGGCCACAGTTCTGACTTGTTCCCTGCATTGTCTGTGTCCACATCGTGCGACTCATCTTAAACTCTGATGTACCGGTTATCAGAAAACTTCCCTCAAGACTGAGTGCTGAGGGCAGTGTGTGGCAGTAACAGGCAGAATGACCTCAGTGGACATGGTCTCGTTTTGCTTTGGCTCCCGGGCAGCTCTGAGCCCGCGACTGTGGCGTGCCTGGCAAAGCCCCCATGCTCCCGCGCTCCTCCTACTCTCAGCTACCTTTCCTCAGCTCCTGAGTTTCTTCCAGATTGATTTTTTTTTTCATTATCTTATGGCTCTGCTTTCAAGTGCTGCCTCAGGCCTCTCAGGGCCAGCAGTGTAGGGTGACGCAGGCGTGCGCCTTGGAACGCCCGCCCTTGGCTGTGCCACTGTGCCTTGCCCGACGCCAAGCATACTGATAAAAATTCTATCTATAAAAATACTAAGTGCGAAAGTATAGAATTGCTTTGGAATGCCTGGTATTTATACTCTGTAACTTGAAAGAAAATGAAAGGGTTTGCACATTTATTTTTCTCTGCAGGGTGGAAAGGCCATTGAGTTTTGCATTGCTCGCTGGTGGGCGAGTCTGAGTGACGTCAATATCGATTATACCATTTCCTTCCATGGGATAGTGTGCACTGCCCCTCAGTTAAACATTGTAAGTCCCAGCTTTTCATCATTTTTACTGTCAATTATCTGTGTTACTAGAAAATATCATCACTGGTTCATTTAAAGATTAATGGAAATTACCTGTAGTTTTGGAAATAGTAATGCCTTTGTTTATGGGTGCTTATAGACTGCATGAGACACTTATTTTGGGTTCGAAGTATTGTTTAAAAATACAGTTCATTTTCAATAAAGTCTGAGAAACTGATTTGGTAAATATCCCCTTGTAGCATGCATCAGAAGGAATCAACCGTTTTGATGTTCAGTCATCCTTGAAATATGAAGATCTGGCTCCCTGCATAACCCTGAAGAGCTGGGTTCAAACCCTACGGTATCACTCGCTGTTTTAGGGTTGCAGATGTGGTGAAGCTGGGGGGGATCGCTGACCTTCTGGGAAGAGTCATTTTTTTCACAGCCATCTGAATGCTGGAGGGGAAAAGTCAATTTATGGCTTTGCAGGGTAGGAACCCCGCAGGTCTCTACGAGGCAGCCCCAGCAGCTTCTGGCCTAAGAGGCCACGTGTGAATGAGGCTGTCAGTGTGGCACTGGCAGTTTGGGCAGGAGGGTGCACATGGAGACCCGTCCTTGACACTGTCAGCAAGCCACTCAGTGTTGACGCCTGGTTATGTCAAGAATTATTTAATGACACTTGGAAACGTTTTTGTCATGAAAGGGTCACCTTTGTAATACTGCAGAATTTCAGCTGTGTGTGTTGCTATGATTGAGTCAATAAAGAACAAGAGTTACTGAGGACAGTGGAATATACTGGAAGGAATATGTTCAGGAAGGCTCCTTTATTACTTTGTAATATGTTTCAGATTTTGTTAATTATAGTTTAATTTGTTTCATTAATTGACTTCTTGAATCAAACGGTTGTGCAATTGTCTAATTACAGCCCACTGAGTGCAAAAACAAAACCTTTAGGCTCGAGGGATGTTTTGCCAAATAACCGTCAACTTTACGAGATGATCCTGACCTATAACTTTCATCAAGTGAGTGTTTATACGATAAAGGACAGCCTCGCAATGAACTTTCAAGTTTTATGAATCATAAAATCAAAATGGAAGGATATTATGAAATGAAAGAGAATCTAATGATTAACTTTGGTTAATTTGGAATTGTTCTTTGGGAAATTATGATCTGTAATAATCTAAGGTACCATTCAGATCTGAAGTCACAAATTATACTGTAGTGGTGATAGGCCTTTGAACCTCAGTTTTGTAATGTTTACCTGTTCAGTGATACCTGTCCAATATTACCTGTCCAGTGGTGAGGTGTCTCCTCAGGGCAGATACCTTCTTACCATGCTAATGCACCTGATTGCTTGTTGTGAAGCTGATGTCAAAATAGTCTAACATCAGGAAAAAACCCAAATTGAATGAATGCTAAAGACGGTTAAACCTGTAAGATCATAATTTCAGTAGAACTTTATGAATAATATGAATTTGCTCGTGATGTTAGGGGATGATTGATTTCAGTGAGTTCTCAAATTTGGATTTTATAAAGTAATTAGAGATTCTGAAGACTATGTATCACTTTATTAATGAATTCAAATAGCCTATTGGTTTGTCTGTAAAGGAGAAGTAACTTTCATTAGTGTCAAATAGTGGCTGTTCTGCATTTTTGGTTACTGCAGGAAATTATTCTTAAGACTGAAATGTAAAAGTCTCATCAATAAAATTGCAAATCTACATTAGAAATCACGTAAACCATGTCAAGTAACCCTTCTTATTTTTTTATAGCCCAAGAGTGGGGAAGTAACTCCAAGCTGCCCACTACTTTGTGAATTATTATATGAATCAGAATTTGACAGCCAACTCTGGATTATATTTGACCAGAACAAAAGACAGATGGGCTCGGGTGACGCCTACCCACACCAGGTACAAACGGCAGGGATTTTAGAATCAACAGAAGCTGCTTCCTGAACGAGCGAGTCAGTGATTTCTTGTCAGGATGATGCTCGCACCACTGGGCGCTCAGTTTTGTGTTGTGACATTGTGTCCCCTGTGACACTCTTCAGTCTTGTGGTCCAGCTGGGTCAAATTTGGGGTAGAGGAGACCAGGGACACTCATAGGCATTGGCCAGAAGAGCTCTCAATGTTCATTATTTCCCCCTCTCCTGCTCCCCCGGGTGAAAGTGAATCATCTGAGGCACCTGGGAGTGACCCCGGGTCTGACGTGGGGCGAGTGCAGCGCTGGCGTGTCCACACCATCCTGGTCCATGCTGATGTGCTCCTGGTGGCCGTGCGCTGGGCACTTGCAGTGTGCCCTGCCCTTGGCTGAGCTTTGTCCTGAGGAGAAAAGCCTCCCGGTCTCTGAACGTGTAGAAATTTATTCCCGATTGAACTGTTGTGACAAAGAAATAAGATGTTTCCTGTCACCGTCGCTAAATTTATGCTAAATAATGAGCATTTATGCAGATAGTTTTCTTTTTACCATTCGAGGAGTGATTTCCTGGTTTTCTAAAGCAAGCCCTGTCCCCTCTCGCTGCAGACCGGCTTATTGCAGGGCATTACTTTGGTTGACATTAAAATCGCCAAAGAAAGTGCAGGTGCCAGTGCAGACCTGCTGTCCTGTGCTGGACGAACTGGAGCATCGCCCATCTGTGCTCCCTGATCCCGGTGCTCCCTTTTTCCCTGCCTATGACGAAGGGGAGTGGCGTAGGTGCTGATATGAAGCTGCCCCTTTCGTGTCTGCACACACGTGTATTTCTGTCTTCGATCTTATACAGCACCTCAGCTTTGCTGACTCTCAGTGGTGATTTGTACTCATCTCTGAGTGCCCACAAAATCGAAAATCATTGCTTTATCAGTCTTGGCCAGACACCGATTAGGCTGAGATTGTGACAGTAGAGCCAGTTGTCGAGGAAGAATGAGGGCTTGGCTCAGCCCTGCTTCAGGTACTGGTCCTTTACTCTGTGTGAGCAGGGACAATTGCAGGATGTCCCTGGCTCGTCCTTGCTCACCCGTGCAGCTGTGTATGTGTGTGTGTGTGTGCGTGAGAGAGAGAGAGAGAGAGAGAGAGAGAGAGAGAGAATGTGTATATACAGGTGCTGGGCCTCATAGGCCTCTGTGATTCCTCCCCACTTACTGTGATTTCAGTAATCCTTATCCTTACTGTGATTTCAGCTTATTTGGTTGAACTTTAATTTTTACCAAATGTTGTTTTTCTTTTTTAGTATTCTTTGAAATTGGAGAAAGGAGATTATACAATTCGACTGCAGATTCGTCACGAGCAAATCAATGATTTGGAACGTCTCAAAGATCTTCCGTTTATCGTTTCTCATAGGTTGTCTAATACCTTGAGCTTAGATATCCATGAGAATCATAGCCTCGCACTTCTAGGGAAAAAGAAATCCAGCAGCTTGACGCTACCGCCCAAGTACAACCAGCCTTTCTTTGTTACCTCCTTACCTGACGACAAGTAAGTGCTGACGATGACGCGGCCCAGCTCAGGGCCTGCATAGGGCCGTGGGCTCTTCCTCTTCATGGCTTCAGGCTGAAGCTGTGGTGTATTGTCCTTTACCATTTTGACTTGGGCTATTTCACCCTTTGGATTTTAAAAACTTAGCAGTGGGAATCATTTCAGAATGGGATTCTTTCCATGTTTTCCCCCCTAATTGTCTTTGTGAAACTTTCTCTTGTTTTTTTTTTTTTTCCTCTTTTGCATCTTCTCATTAGAATCCCTAAAGGGGCAGGGCCCGGATGCTACCTTGCAGGATCCTTAACCTTGTCAAAGACCGAACTTGGGAAGAAAGCTGTAAGTATTAGCTGTTTTTTTTTTTTAAACACTGAAACTACATAGTCCAAAGTTTCCATTTCTTGAAAGATGTGAATGAATTCCACGTTTCAGAATGAGTAAAAATGAAGACCATCCTGGGGTGGGGGGGAGTGTTAATGGTTCTTTTCCCAAGTTCCTGGTAATATCTGGTTTTACTTAAAAGTATTTAATATATTTAGTATTCACTTTCCCAAGACTAAGTATTCAGGTTCTTCCCCACCCTGCACCGCTAGTATACTTGCACTTCCCATGAAACATGCAGATCCAAATCACTCTTGGCTTTCGTAAATGAAGTGTTTAAAATTAGAGCATTTTATGGAATTATAACTGACGTAATAACTGATACAATATTATGGACATAGGAATAAGTCAGATCCTCTTGGCTTAATTACTTCTAACGTTCAGTCAAGACGATTTTTTCTAATGAAACTTTTTCATGCTTGGCCAAAGACCTTTGACTGGAATTTTGCACACTTATATAGTTAATTATTAGTTATTTCAACTCAGTGCCACTAAAAAGCAGTCATTCTTATAGTTTTGCATTTCTCTTTAACATTCATTTTTAGAAATATGTGAGTGAGTGTTCCACCTAATGCTGGGAACTGTAACTGCATTTATGAAACGAGCAGGTCTCACATCTGAACAAGTACATTCACTTTCCGTGTATTGACGCTCCGGTCATTTATTTGTTGTAGAAGCACAGCATGGGAATTTTGTATTTATAAAGTGCTGATTTTCCCTTGTACTTCTTGAGTTTCTTTTCAGTCTCTACTATTTACACATGGGGTCTCTCTGTGTGTATATATACTTAAAAGTATGTATGCATATCCCCAAAGGTATGTATGTATGTGTGTGTAGATCTGCACTACAGAATAATTTGAGGTAAATCACTAGTTAATATGTTGGAATTCTTAGATGCTTGGATTTCAGAAGTCCTAGCTTTTTGTTTTTGGCGGATTTCACTTCCTGGCCACGCTGCTCCCACTTCGGGCTTCACCAGTGAGGCTCCCCCCCAGAACACGCTCCCAAGCCTACTTCCTGGTGTTGGGTGTGACAGAAGAGCTTTGTTTGTAAAAAGGATGCTCTTAGTCATTTAGAGGCCGTTACCACTTCCTCGCTGTATTCTTTCAGAAGCAGTTGAGAAATGAAATTATAAATGTGTGATTAACTAGTTAATACTTGTCAGGGTAGATTTTCTTGACAGAAAAACCCTAAAGCTACTGAGTTAATTATGCTCGCACACATTGTTTCTTTAACCTTAGTTTTGCATTTCTGGTGACTTGGGTCCTTAGGAGGTGACTGCTCGTTTACTTGTCCAACTTTCACACGATGCTTGTGTGACTGCTGAGCCGTCCTGGGAAACCAGGGTCTGTGGGCCGGCAGCTAAACTTGGATGTGCTCAAGACATCGTGTTTTGACTTCTAGTAGCTCTTATGGCACAAAACTTTTGTAATGAAAGGTTGAAAGACATTTGCCCCTATAGGAATAGCATATTTGAGTGCATTTTTGTTTAAAAAGTGAAAGTGGCGATGCTGCTTTCTTTCAAAGCTACCGTTGTGACCACAGGCCTGACACTCCTAAGTACTGGGACACGTGCAGGTGGAGCATAAGCTGGAAGAACATTAGCCAGAGTGGTGTGTCCCCCCCCATGGAGAGTATGCATGTTTTCTTACAGAATGTCCTTCTAACTCCCAGGGGCAGTCTGCAGCAAAACGACAAGGAAAGTTTAAAAAGGTACTGATTGTCAGTTCTTAAAAAAGATTGCTTAAAGCCTTATTTGCATATTAAACTTTTTCTGTCACTATTATAGATTTTTTTAAATCTTTCCCTTAGTTTCCTCTCTCTGAGTTCTGCAGTATAGTGCTTTTAGCTTATCAGTGTTGACATACTGCTTATCTAAAGGTTTATTTCTTCCCATAAATTTCTGGAAGACCCCTAATTTATATGTGTGTAGAGAAAATGTTAATGTTCTTCAGTTCTTACTACCACTGTGAAACTGAGTAATATTTGAAATATTGCCTATTTAAAATCCTATAGAGATGAGTATGATTTCTTTTTGCTAGTATGTAGGACAAAGTAGTTATTTCTGAAGTCTAAAAACATTGTTAAATTGGATAATTTGATTAATAAAATCTTGTTAAAAGATTTGAAGTAAATTCTATTCCCTACTCTGCATTTTCTGAGCTCTGAAAGGTCAGAGACAAAAATAGCAGTGTGTATAGCCAGAACCGAAATAAGGACTGCTGACCTCAAATTAAAACATACACTAAGAGCACCAGCAGATTTCCAGAGCATCACTAAAGTGATCTAACTGGCTTCCTTCAACTTAGGAGGCAATCTAACCGCAAACCAAATTGCACATGAAAAATTCTCCAAGTGTGCTTGGGAAAAAAAGGTGCAGTTGAGTTCCCTGGTGAAGGCCTGCGGGCGCCGTCAGTTCCCAGTGGTGCCTCGTGTTCCTGCCGGGGGCTCTGCTCAGGGAGGATCAGTATGTTAAGGAACAGACCAGAGAGGACTCGGTCTTTCTCAATTCCTAGAACGGGAAACAAGGGATCACCATTTATGAAAGGTAAAATTAGTTCATTAAAATGACTACTGAAATGTCTAAGTTACTGTGGAGTGGTATCAACAAACACACCCCAGAAACATCTTTCCAAATGGGAGTAGCTGCTCCCCTGAAACAGTATTTGTCAGCTGAACTTTTGGCCCGTTTGGAGACCACATACTTTCACCTCATGGAGCACAGCCAACATTAAAATGAAAACAGTAAAATGAGCTATGTCTGCACATCACTCTCACTGAGCTGTAACTCATTTTGCATGCAGGCTGTCTTTGAGTGGTTCTGAAAATCACTGCTTTCACGAAGGAGAAAGAGACAGCCTAGGAGCCACTAAAAACAGAAGGTGCCTGCTACAGAGGCACAGCCACTCTCTTGTTCTGTTTTCCCATCTCTTCGGTTGTAGTCTAGGGATTTTGGCGGAGTTTGTTTGGGTGAGGTTTATAAATAAGGAAATGGTCAAATGAATTGGAATGTTGTCACTATGTGGTGTTTGGTTGTGTAAAGAACTTGCAGTTCAGTTCACCTCTTCCCATTCTCCCTGCTTTGTGCAAGTTCATGTGAAGCTCTGATTTAAGTCATCATTATTGAAGTCTTATAGGCACATTATAATGTATGTGCGTGTACATGCGCTCGCACGCGCGCACACACACACACACACACACAATTAAAATTAAATATATGATTGCCTGAACAAAATACCAACTAGTATTTTGTATATAATCCTCAAAGGATTTGTTCTCAGTTTTAGTAACTTTTGATGTAAAAAATATATTATCTTTTTTTAAGTTCATTGTAATAAGAAAGAATATTTTTAGCATCTTGAGCACTCAAATTTTTCATCTTTAAAATAGCTACTTTTGTATAATGGTGTACATATTTTGCATTTATGGTTAGTAATAGATTGAAAACTAAAAAAATAATAATTTTGGACTCAAAATGTAAATAGTGCTATGTTATTACACCCAAAAAATCATTACTGGTTTGGCAGATGGGTTTGTTTTGTTTTTTTTTTTTTTTTTCTAACTATACTGTCAAACACTGTTGAAATTCCTTGTGAATTTGTGGAATCTTCTTTTTGTTGTTTTTAAAACTTACTGTAAGAATCTGCTGTAGAGACAGATATTAAATTCTGTGTGACAACACTGGTAGCGAATGCCTTACCTCCTAGTCTCAGGAATTGCCTCATAAAACAGAGGCTTCCCATCCTGACATTGGTCCCTCTCCCAACTCAGGCGAGCATGAGGGGACTCGGGGAGGCCGGGTAGCTGAAAGTGAACCCAAGCATGGTCCTTGGCGCACGCCGTCCACACACCCACGTTTCTCCTGGTCAGGGGGCGCGATTCCAAAGCCAGTGGCGCCGGACGGAGCGTGTGGGTGGCCCTTCTTCTACACCTTGGTTTTTGAGGTGTAGCGTCTGTGCTGTGCCGTGAGGCTAGAGCAGTCTGTCCCTGTGTGAACTGGGTGGTGAACTACTGACTTGCTCACACCCCTGACCTTGGCTTTACCTGGGGCAGTGCCCACCCAGGAGAGCGACCCTTGAGAAGGAGGTGAGAAGCTCTGTTCCTGAGGGAGCTGGCCGAGCAGAGCCCCATCTCGTGGGGCCGCTGCTGCAGGCTCCAGGGCTCAGCACAGAGTGGCACCCAGATGCCTCAGTTGGGTCTGCATTCACGTCCCATGAACGAGTCACCCTGAGATTGGAGTCCAGACTTCATGCCAGTGCGCTCTCAGAGCTGCTGTAGGGGGTCTCCTGTGTTCACGGCAGTGATGACACCCCGGCGTGAATTTAACTGTGAGGACTGTGGGATGGGCGTGTTTGTGTAGTATGTGCACCTAGAAATCTATTTGGAAAAATGGGGACCTGCAATAGGGTTTTTTGACTCAACCTATATATTTTTTTTTTCTGAAGCAGCTGTTATTAGGACAGTAAAAGTCTTTTTGGTAACGTCATTGGCTCCAATTTTAGAAACTGTTAATTAAAGCAAACCTAAAACTTGATTTCATAGCATTTTAAATGTAAGCCCCAAGATAGAATTTGAGAAATCAACTTTATAAATGATACTAAATTGAGGACACCTAGTTATTGTGCCCCACACAGATCTTCTAGCAAGTGTAATGTGACTTCATTCCCCAGATAAGAGATAAGGCATCACTTTCACAAGTAAAGACCCAGCTGGAGATGGATGCAGTTACACATTTTTCTGTTCTCTACTTAGCAGGATGTCTCAAAAGAGCTGTCTCTACTGGCTGGCTTTCCTTTCTCTCTCCATAGCCCCCTCAGTCAGCCTTTTCCCCCAGCTGCCCACCAGAACAGCTCTGGGCAGGGAGGTCGCAGCCCTGTCAGCAGGCACTTTCTCTGCCCGTGCCACCTCTGGGTGCGGTCCACACTCGGCCTCCCTCCCTCCACAGCTGGTTCTTCCTAGGGGCTGCGCTGCTCCCAGCTCTCTGGCTTCCCTCTCCCCCATCGACCTGTGGGTGTGGGGCGCTTACCCCCGTGCGGGTCTTGCTCTCCTCACCCCCAGTGTGTTCTGCAAGCGCCGTGCTGCTGCTGGCACCCAGTGTCTCAAACCCACTCCTTTTCTTCCTTCTCCGCAGCCTGTTCTTTACTTCAAGGCCCTGTCGAACTCCTAGGCTTACTTCCTCACTTTACTTCCTCAGCTGCTTCCCTCCTCTCTGTCATCCATTCTTTGGATTGCATCAAGAGTTATTAAAAACAACCCAGAATCTCAGTCCATACAGGATCCAGAGTCATCCGGCAGAAGGCAGCCACCTGCGGTCCTGCCGCTGCGTGCAGAAAGCCACTCCTGTTGCATCTGCAGTAAAATCCATTTCTCAGCGTTCTGTCGGCCCTACTCTCTGCAGCACTCGGTGCTAGGGCCATGCGTGCCCGCGTTTACCTCCGTGCTGGCCTTCTACCTCCGGATACTCCTTCCTCCCCTTCTTTCCTGGGGTTCACTCCACTGGGGTCACTGAGGGCCGCTCAGAGCGTTATCGCCTCTTGCGATAACTGTCTACGCCCGTCTGTGCACACCGGTTCCCTTACCTCGTGCCACACCCCCTTGGCCTAGCCCGTCTCCCTGGCATGGGGTGTGGGGCGTGGATCGGGAAGTGTTTCCTGACCTACGTGCTTGTTGGCCACACGGGAGGCTGGAATGGCCTGGCTCCTCCCGGCAGCACCTCCGCCCCCCGCAGGGGCTGAGCCCTGGTGAGGAGCGGGGGAGAACTGTCTTTGATCTTACTTAGAAAAGAAGACCTTTCCTTTTTCTTAATTCTAACTTATTTCCTCTCCTTCTCAGATTTGAATGTGAAACTCGGTATGCTCTAGTCATTAGTGTCCCCACTAAAACTAAAGGTGCCAAATACACTCCAAAGGAGAGAAGTCTGCTCTACCTTCCGTATTTAAAGGAGCTGAAGAAATAGCAGTACTTTAAAGATTGTGAACTTTACTTTGGGAGAAAATTACTCTGGTCGCAGATTGAAATGTTTGATGTGCGGTGGCCCCGGAGCCTGGAGGACAGTGTAGTTCAGCCCGGGCCGCATGTCCCGAGAGTCAGCTGCTGTCGGTGGTGGTTTGACATATGTGAGTCCGCCTGTTAATCTCCGCTCTCTCCACGCTCAGGATGTGATCCCTGTTCATTACTACCTAATCCCTGCACCAACAAAGACGAAGAATGGCAGCAAAGACAAAGAAAAAGATGCAGAAAAAGAGAAAGATTTAAAAGAAGAGTTTACTGAAGCGTTACGGGACCTTAAAATCCAGTGGATGACGAAGTAAGTTGACTGGATTTTAATCCTCTGAGCTCCGGCGTTGTGTGGTCTGGGCAGGGCTGTATTCAGTCAGCTGGACAGTGGGCCAGAGGGTTACAGGGGCTGTCTAATTTTCTTGTAATTATTTTACAATTACCTTTTGTGATAAGAATATTTTTTATTTTATTTTAATCACGTAATCTGATTTGCTCTGGGAAGAGACTTTTGTTGGAAGCTAAAGCAAAGAAAATGAAGCCACTTTTTCCCCGCTCTCCAAAGCTAGTAGAGTCCTACAGTGCCGGCCTCTGTCTTTGAGGTGTAGCTGTGTAGATGGTGGCAAGGCCTGGCTTTCCCGTTCCTGTTCGGTTACCACCACTTCCTGTGTCCCTTACTGGTCCTTTCAGAGCCCGTTTTAATCACTGTCCAGTGGATGACCCCGTGGATGAAATTCAGCCTTCACAGGTGCTTCGGCACAGACATGTGTGCGTCCTGTAGTTCCATCAGAGAGCGCCCCAGAAGAACGGCCATTACCTCAGAAATGTTTCTAAAAGTCATGGCTGGCCAAGTTGCCCTCTAGAGGGACTGGACAGTGGCTCCGCGCGCCGAGGCTGGTGCCCCGTCCCGCTGACATGGAGCCTCGCTGCTCCGGCTGCAGAGGGACCCGGCCGTGGGTGACCGTTCTTTTTAAAAACCAGCCTTTAAACCCCTGGAAGTGATCTTGGGGGCATGTAGGAAAAGGGGAAACCTCACGTCAAGAACATCTGTAGCAGCTCTGAGAGGGGCCTCCCCGTGGCGCGGCAGGTGGAGCCCCGCGCTGTGGGGTCTCCGCGGCGGCGCGGGTTCGATGCCCGCCGGGGGGACGCGGTCGCGCGGGGAGGACGCGCGGCTCTGCCCGAGGTGAGCGGGGCGTCTCCGCGCGTCTCCCCGCAGGCTGGACTCCAGCGACATCTACAACGAGCTGAAGGACACGTACCCCAACTACCTGCCGCTCTACGTCGCGCGCCTGCACCAGCTGGACGCGGAGAAGGTGGGCGCCCTCGCGGGGCGGGGGGGGGGCAGGTGTGTGTGTTGTTTGTATCCGGTTCTTTCACGTCGGCGCGTCTGGGGAGCCGTTTCCTTGGGGGCGGGGAGGTGCGGGGCGGGGAGGCCGCGTCCGCCTCTCGCCTGCGGCGCCCCGAGAACGCCCCGGCGCCCCTGACCCGGCCGGTGTCCCCCAGGAGCGCCTGAAGCGGCTGAGCGAGATCGTGGAGGCCGCGAACGCCGTCATCGCGCACGTGGACCAGACGGCGCTGGCCGTGTTCCTGGCCATGAAGACGGACCCCAGGCCCGACGCGGCGACGATAAAAAAGTACCTACCAGTAAATACTCGTCCTTGCCTCTCCCCCCGGGCGCCCGCCCCCCAGCCCCCTCCGGGGCGCGCCCCTCGTGGGGGCCCCCCCACCCCCAGCAGGGGACGGCGGGGGCGCAGGCCCGGGCTGGGGAGGCGCCCGCTTCTCTCCCCTCAGCGCGGGGCGGGGCGGCTCCCCAGCCCGGCCTTCCCGTCGCGGGCCCCGGCCCTGCAGCCCCCGCGCCCCCAGGTCCCCTCCCCTGCGGCCTCTTGGCCCGGGGCACGGCTTCCCGCACCCCGCTTGGCGGCCTCCCGGAGCCTCCTGGCGCCACCGGCCTGACCCGCGGCCCCCGCGCTCCCCGCCGGCGCAGGGCCGCACCCCCGAGTGCGGGAAGGCGCGCGTGTGCGGCTCGTTGTGCTGTGGCCCCTCCCGAGATCGTGGCTCTCTCTGAAGGGCACCGTTCAGCAAAAAACATCAGCTCCAGGCTGAAGTGAGCCAGAAGTGGACGGTGGGGTTTCAGATTTGCTGGTGCTTGGCTCACCGTCTGTTTCAGACACTGCCTCGGGGACGATCAAAAAGTAATGATAAAATGAGGTCCTGGCTCTGAGCTTACAGTCGTAAGGGATTTTAGATACACCGTGATGAAACTAGAAAGAAGCCATAAAACTGCAGAAATCCTAAGATGGCAGCTGTTTTTACATTTCTGGCAACTGGATCAGTTTCGTCTACCCTGTAACTGCGGTATTTGCTTCAGGCCTTTGCTTTATCCAGACTGAAATGGGCTCAGACAGGCTGGGCTGAGCAAAGATGCGAGCTGAGGGCATCTGGGCCTTGTGCTCCACACGAGGTGCTCACCGGAGAGCCTGTTCCTCTAGGTTTTACCTGTTGACAAGGGACACCTGACTTATGCTTGACTTCTCATCTCTGTGCAAAACTGCTTTCACTTAAATTGCTTCTATGTGAAAAATTACAATAGCTATTTTTCCGTCTTAAAAATGGCACTGTTTGTAGGTGATCTAGAAAGTTTTAATGATAAAATTTGAACTACAGTTCACTTAGCCACTAACGTGTATCTTTCAAGTTGCTTCCTAAAATGTGGCCGCCACCACCCCCATCAGTACCTGGTAGAGCTGGCTCAGGGGTGTTACTGAGCAAACACGTAGGTAAAGCAGTACTGAGGGGAGAGGGTGTGAACAGGAGCAAGACACCCTAGGAAACACGCAGTCTGACACAGCAGGGGAGACCACTAGGTAGGACGCGATCGAGAGGGACACTCAGAAGCTCACATTTGACAGCCCACCGGAAGGAGGCTGCATTTGCTTTTGAGTGGGGGAAGGCGTGTGGATTATTTATTTAATCCAAGCAGGTCACCATAAAATTAGAGGAAATATTCCAGATGAGTAGGATTTGGTCTTGGATCAGAAGATAGAAGAGCTCTTTGGGGAACTGAATCCAGGACTGCAGCACAGCACTGCGCCACCGGCATGCCCCCTGGATCCTGAATCCTCCTGCCCTTCTATGGGCAGCGAGGAGCAGGCAGGATGGTCAGGGTGCTGAAGCCCGCGGCCCTGCCCCACTAATCCTGCTCTGTTCCAGAGCCCGGTCCTCCCTCTCATCATGGGAGTAAGAATGGGCCTTGGCTCCTAGGGTTGCCTTGAGGCATAAAGAAAGAACTGCCCGGACATTTCTGGTGTTTCCTCGCATCTAAAAGAGGGGGCGTGGAACAAATGCCATCTGTAATGTCCCGACTCATAAATCCTTCTCTTCCTAAGTCGTAACCAAGCAGTCCCCGCTCACACTTCCCAAAAAGAGAGTGAAAGCCGGCCCTTGTAAGCTTTGGGGCTCTCAGCTGATAACGTCGGCATCCGTGTCACACGTCTATCAGGGTTAGGGTTGTCACCAGTTGTAAGAAGCTGTTGGGTTGCTTTGGGGGTGGGGGGTTGTCCCATTTTGTTTACTTCCTGCTAATCACCGTTGACTGTGGTCCCAGCAGAATTGGTGTGTGCCCCATTTCCCTGGGCCCTTCGGAATCATTCTTACCTTGGTGAGTTGTTCTTCCCATGTCTGAAGGCCTCGCGCTCACTCCCTTGGCACTTTCAATCCTCACTGTCTTCACCCCTGTCCGAGGAGTTGAACAAAAAGTGCCTCAGATAAGCACACCAGAGATGAACTCATCCCCTGGAGTCTAGGTAGTTACTTGTTTTCATTCAACAGTGATTGATTGACTGATTCTGTGCTGGGCTCCGTGCTGGCACTTGGGAATGCATCAGAAGAAAACAGATGCCTGCCGGGAGCGCAGAGCTGAGCGGCCCCACTGCGGGGCCCCGAATAAATCAGCTGAACTCTGTGCCTCAGTCTCCTGCTTTGAAAATGGGGGGGTGGGTAATAGACAGTATCTTCCTCGTAGGATTATTTTGATTAGAAATGAGTGACTATGTTAACATGCTGAACCAGTTGCTGGTGTGTTCAGGGTAAGCATTGAGTTTGGCTCTGCTCATACTTGAAAGCTCATGGCAGGAAGGACGTGTGTACACGCACACAGACACGCATGCAGGGGTTGCTGTGCAGCAGAAACCTAGAGCTTAAACAGTCGTAGCGGAAAGATCTAGAGTCAGAGCATCTTTCAGGTCTCATCGCTTGTGGCATTTTGCTTCAGCCAAGTGCAGTTAGCCCACATGATCTAATCGATATGTGCACTCTAGTGGCTCGTTTCATGTTTATTTAGAAATAAGAAACTTGATCTGCACTACACATGTCTATGCTCTTTCTGCATTATAAATCTTAGGCAAAAGATGCATGAATGTAATTTCAGATAACGCTGTACTTCTAAAAAAAGGTGTGTTGACACGAAATGTTTTCGATCCGGTGCAGTGACATGGACAAGCAGAAGTCTACCCTCGTCGATGCCCTGTGTAGGAAAGGCTGCGCCCTGGCCGACCACCTGCTGCAGGCCCAGGACCAGGAGGGGGCTGTTTCGGGGGACACGGAGGGGAGAGAGGACGAAGGAGACAGTGTTCTGGAGTCCCTGACTGAGACTTTTTGGGAAACTACAAAATGGACTGACCTTTTTGACAATAAGGTACCTTCCAGCTTCTTGCGCCGCGTGCTCAGACCTTGGTTCCTGCTTCCCCACTTTGCCCGCGGCCGCCTGCGTGACAGCTGACTGGCCGGAGAGCAGGGGAGGGGAGAGCCGCCGGGCTGGCTCTGAGGAGGCTGCTGTGTCTGTCTGCCCTGTTTTAAGGCGACTGCACCATTGATCTAACTGCAAAGTGGCTGCTTAGCCACTCGCCCTCCACCAGTTCGGGAAAGCGTGGCGGTGTTCTGGTTCCGCCAGGCTCGTACGGCGTTACGACGAAGAACGTCACCTGGCAGATGTCTGCGTGCAGCCCCGCGTCTGTGTGCTGGGTTGTGGGGGTGAGAAAGGAGTGTGTTCTGATTCGTTTGGGTTCTTTTCTCAAAACCCTTCAACTTCCAGATAATTTCCATCATATTTATAGCCAAACGGTTTCAGACTCTACTTTAGAAAAAGAAACATTGATGCACCCTTGGAAATTCAGGTGATAAAGCATTCGAAATCCTGTTCAGCTCTCTTGTTCTAATTTTTACAGTACAGATCCCATAGTAACAACTTGTCTCTCTTCCTTCCTTCTGGAGAGAGGAAAGACAAGCGGAATCAGTGGAATGCTCCTTGCCCGCCTCACAAACCTGTGCTGTTCTCGTAGGTTGCTGCTTGTTTTCGGGGTTAATCTGGCTGATTTGGAGGAAGGGACTCTGGAAGTAGGAGAAAAGTCTTCCTGCGTGCTTGGTTTTTTCCAGCACCGAGCGCACCGCACGTAGAGAAGGGCACAGCCGTATCTAGGAAACTGAGTCAGTCCACGCCGGGGTTAGAATTTAGATCGCAAATGAGACCCCTGGAGTTTGATTTGCACCATGCCTTTATCCCTGGTGACCTGGGGCAAGTTACTCAGTTCCGTGCTTCAGGCTCCTAGTTGTTGAGTGAGGACGGCCGCACGCTCCCTTCCACGGGCATTTCTGAATTAAGAGCCTGGAAGGGTGGCAACCGTGTTTGCTATTACTTCTGACAGTTCTCACCTGTCTGCTATGTGCCCGCCACTGTGCTCACTGCTGGAAAAAGATCAATAAGAAGCAACAAGTCAATAAACATTTGGTGAACATCTTAATAAAATCGTTGTAAATCTTTTCCTGCATAACACTGCTGCATTGGCAAGCTTGCGTTGTAGACCTGCCTATTCACTCACAACAGCAGGTTTTGAACACTTTATCTCAAGAATACAAATAAATATGACGGGATGCCTTTCTTTGAAAACAATCTCCGTATTTTAAAAGTGGAAACCGAAAATATAAATAAATGGCTACAAGTAGAGTTGCCAAATGGAATAATTAAAGGCACAAAACATACAAAGAGGAAGCGGCTGAAGGTAAAATCATAGTTATCTGATAGGATGGTGTGTTGGTTACTGCTATTTTAAAATTTTCGCAACTTACAGTGACTCTTTATAGTGTGGTGCCTCTATCCAAATGTGCATCTTTGTGATTTATGTTTGCTCTGCTGTCTTTTGCCTAAAGATTAGCTTGGTGATGGATTCCAACAATTTGTAGTTTATTGTAATTTTCCTCCACAAAGTAAATGCTCTGTTCTGTGGAATTCCCAGTTCTTTGAAGACTGGAATTGTTCTTTTTAAAAGTTTTTAAAATTTGTTTCATGTAACTTGATCCTTTTAAAGGCTGCACTTCTATTAAAGCCTTTTGCCTTGCAATGTAAATAATTCACAGATAAGCTTCATCTTGTTTTATATTGCAGGTTTTGACATTCGCATACAAGCATGCATTGGTAAATAAAATGTATGGGAGAGGCCTTAAGTTTGCAACTAAACTTGTGGAAGAAAAGCCAACAAAAGAAAACTGGAAAAATTGTATTCAGGTAGGTGATACTTTAATCATGAGTGTTAAATGTCACTTCAGTATTGCCTAATGGCCCAGTAGCTTAAAAGCCTTGTAGCATGGTGTAACAGTATTGATTTTATTGGGACTAATAATACTGATTCACGAGATGTGAACTGTAAAATAAATGCACACGAGACGGCCAGTAAGCTGCTTAAATTTATAAGATGTTCCGCTCCTATCCAGAAAACTTATGTAGCCTCAAGTATTTTCAACTTAGACCAAAATGCATTATGAATTTTGTATAGTTAGAAGACAGTTTTTCTTCATGAAAGAAGCAATTCCTCTTCAGTACATGTTTAACCCAATTCTAAAATGTTTTAATTTTCAGAGTTTATATTTGTTCTTTTCCTCCTTTGAAATGATAAACCATTTTGTTATTTTATCATACATTATATACAGAGAAATTCTGTATTTGAGCTTTCTGCACAAGTTAATTGTCAAGTATAAAAACTTAAGTTGAGCTCAGCAGGAATTACTTTAGCCTCACCTGTCTTTGTACACATGTAATTGGTTAGGCCCAAAGGCGAGATGGAAGTGGGGGGTTTGGCCCTGCCCCGGGCCTGGTCTTACATTTAAAGTAGTCTTTACAGGTAAAACTGACCATAGGTTCCTGTAGACATTTTCGATAACGATGGGAAACTAAAGGATAGCTGTACTCTTAGAACTTTCCTGGGCACCTTTACCACTCAGTCCAAAGTAGAAGCTGTTCTCATTTAATCTGCATGAGGTTTTTGAGTAGGTTCAGCAGACTCCTGGAGCTGTTGCTGTGTATAGTGGGATTCGCGTCTCGTAGACTGGACTCTGAGCACTTGCCTTGGAGAAGGTGGTGGTCCCTCGACGTGGCAGGAAGTCTTCTAGCCTTTCCCCCGCCCTTGCTCCCCTGCGGTCTGTTCTCCCATAGCAGCCAGAAAACATAGCTTTCGACTCCCAGGGAAGCATCCTCAGATTCAGAGTCAGATTCACACTTCACTCCGGGCCCACCAGGCCATGTGCTCCGGCTCCCGCCTTCTGCGCGAGCCGGGTCTCCCATCTCACTGCCCCTTGTTTGCCCTGCTTCTGCGCGCCAGCCTCTGTGCTTGGTGGAGAGGCAGCCACGCCCTCCCCCACCAAAGAAGCAAGCCGTTCCTGCTGTGCAGAGAGCTCTGCCCGAGTTCACAGAGTAGGTTTCCACTTGTTAAGTCTCAACTTAAATGCCACCTCTCGAGGTCCCTGTCTTGACCATCGCTCTTCCCTGAGATTGCCAGAGCAAGTTGTGTTGGTCCTGTAGTCCTCATAGGTGTCTTGAAAATTATCTGTTTATTTATTTATTCACCAGTTTGCTTATTTATTATTTGATTTTCCTGAATCGAACATATGATTCCTGGAAGTGGGAAGTGAGTTTGTTCAGTGCTGTCTTCCTGAAGCCCCTAAGAACAGTGTTTGACTTACAGTAGGCTCTCAGAAAAAAGAATGAAAGGAAACGGTTGCTAGAAAGGAACGGGGAAGGTAAATTAAGTCAGAAGAAAGGAGGACAGACAGAAAGGTCAGCAGAAAAGACAGAAAGAAGGGATGACGATGTTCTCCCAGGTAGGGCTGGTTGGTGGGAAAGCTGGTGGATCTGCTGGTAGGAAGGAGGGTCGCTGTGGGGCGGGATGGGAGAAAAGTCCCACTGCTCCGTTAGCACTAAATGTGACGTAACGGATTGGCCCTGAGCCTTGGGCTTGTGGAGCTCCTGTTCCTTAACAACATGTCGTTGTCTTTTGTTACAGCTGATGAAGTTACTTGGGTGGACCCACTGTGCATCTTTCACTGAAAACTGGCTCCCCATCATGTATCCTCCTGACTACTGTGTATTCTAAATTAGGAACCAGACTTTACCTTTTACAAAAGAAAGTTTTATAGTGAATGGATCTAAAAACAAATTTGTGGCATTTTTAGTCTAATGCATGTTTCATCCACTATCAAATACTGATTATTAAAATGATGTGTATTTATCAGAGAATTCGCTGGCGTGTGGCTTAATACATGTAAGGTTAGGCCTCTGGCATCATGGTGTTTTCTTAATGCCTCCCGCTGCGGACACGGGCTGTGCCCTGACTGCCAGCTCCACGGACTCTCATCTGGGTCGCAGCTGTTCATGTGCATGTGGGTTCTCAACAGTAACTTTTAACTGCAAACCTGTAAAATTCTATTTTTTATTTTATAAATGAACAGGGTTTTAACATGCTCGACTTTAATTTTTTCAAATTGTATGAAGGCCTTAAAAAAGCTACATTAAGCGTAGCTAAAATTATTTATTGGACTAAAAAGTAACCGAACTTCATTTCAGTTTTTTTGTTTTTGTTTTTGTTTTTTTTTTTTTTTTTGGCAAAAGTTTACATTCAATTGAGGGGAAAAAATAAAAAACCGGCACAAATAAATGCGTGGCAGTTGCTGGAGCATAAGTGCTTCCTTCTGTAGATCCTCACATCTTGGAGTTATTTCAGGCCAATCATCTCTAGCATCCTCTTGACGTGCAGCATCTGAATGAACTAATCATACATGTGTGAGTGCCAGACAGCTAAATATTTATCAGGTATTGTAAAGATACACATATGGTATGTTTATTGAAAGTTGAAATAATGTAAACACGTGAATAAATGTGCGAAAACCAAGATCACAATACACCATAATGCACTCTGATACCTTAATTTTTTTTATAAATAATAAAAATGAATATTGAACCTTCTTAAAGTTGGTCTTAGTTTTTCATAAAGTTGGGGGTTAGAACAGAAATGATACATTAAATCCTTAGGCAAAAAAATTCAACGTATTATGAGGTAATTTATTTTATAATGTTTCTGTAGGTTGCAATTATTTGGATATATTTCCAATTCTCATGTGATTAACTTTTATGTATGTTAACTTATTATTTTTATGTTTCTGGCTACTATCCTTGCTTCTCTAATCCTGTCTCCATGAAATAAAAAGACACACATAGACAATATTAAAAGACCTCTACGCACTTACGGCAAGCGTGTTTGTGTGTATGATTTTTAAATCTTATTCCCTTAGAATTTACTGCTGCAGAATACCTGCCAGTACTCTTGTCTAGCCATTCATAACTGTATCTTGATAATGGGCCGTTTATCTGATAAAAACATGAGAGACTTTATGAAATAATACAAATATGTATTCAAACACTTTTTATACAGTCCTAAGCCATTTATCATTTGGAGTGCATCCATGAACAGCCACATGCGTCTTCTCACACAAGCACGCATGCTTTACCTACATACATACAGGTCCCAAAGTGTGCAGGTTGAGTCCTATGAGGAAACTGAGAAAGGGTAGGATGACTCTCAGTCGTACTGCTGATTGACTGGCTGAGTGACTGGTGGGTAATTACAGGGCCCCTTGTTCAGCCCAGCTTTTACCATTCCTAATAAGTGTCTTCTAGAGCGGAGACCAGGGACTAGAGCATAGCGTCAAAACTGGACAGCTGCCTGTTTGTAGATGAACTTTTTATTGGAATTCAGCCACATCTACTCATTTGTGTGATGTCTTACTTGGTATAAATTTTAATCCTTTTAAATGTATTCAGTCTTTGTTTTGTGACCTAACATCCTCTGTGTAGCCTGTTTTGTCTATTATTGGATGTGAGGTATTGAAACCTTACTTGATTTGTCCCTTCAGTCCTGTTTTGTTTCATAAATTTTGAGATGGATTTATGTGTATAATGTGATCGATAGCTTAATGAATTAATCCACTAATCATAAAATGTCCTTCTGTGTTACTAATAACAACTTCTGGCTTAGAGTGTGTTTCCTTTGATGTTAGTATAACCACTCCAGCCCCCTGGTGACTATTTGCCTGGTCTATATTTTTCTGTCCTTTTACTTTCAACTTACCTGAATCTAGAGTATCTCTTATACACAGCCTTTTCATTGCAGTGTTTAGTCCATTTACACTTAGTGTAATTACTGATAAGAGTGTTTCTGTCTGCCATTTTTCTATTTTTCAGTGTCTTATACCCTTTTGTCGTAGTCCTTTACTACTCCCATATTTTGTGTTATATTCCCCCCCTTCCCGTTGTGTCATATTTTTTAGTGTACCATTTTAATTATCATTTTTCTCATTATGTTTTTATCTTTTTTAGGGGTTGCTCTGGGGATTGATTTTTTTTTTTTTTTTGTAAGCCCCTGCAATTGGAGCAATCTAGCTGGATTTAATACCAACTTAATTTCAGTGACCTACAAAAGCTTTCTTCTCCTGTACCTTCATTCCCTCCCCCATCCATTGTACTGTTGTATCATAAAGTTACATCTCTGTACATTGAAATATTCATAGACATTACTCTATGCAGTTGTCTTCTAAAATCAGAGAAGTGTTTTTAGAAATTTGCAAACACGAAAATACTTGACAATGTCTCTATTGTATTTTCCTATGTGATCTTTACCGGTGCTTTTTATTTTTTCATTGTATTTCAGGTTATCAACTAGTGTCCTTTCATTTCAGCCAGAAGGATGCCTTTTAGTATTTCTTGTAGGGCAGATTTGCTGACAACATGCTCTCTCACTCTTTGTTTATCTGGCAATTCCTTAATTTTGCCTTCATTTTTGAAGAATCGTTTTGCTGGTTATATCAATAGAATTCTTGGTCGATGGCACTTAAAATACCATCCCTCTTCCATCTGGCCTCCATCCAACTGTTCCTCTTACTGATCCTTGTACGTGACAAGTTGCTTTTCTGAATGCTTCTAAGGTTCTGGGTTGTTTCTGTTTTGTTGGGACAGGGGAGGAGGCCACATCTAAAGATTTGATTCTGATTCACCTGGGTGTGGATCTCTGATTTTATCCTTTTTTGAATTTGTTGAGCGTGAGCTTCTTGGATGTAGAGGTTGTTTTAAATCAAATTTGGGAATCTCTTTGCCGTTGTTTCTTCAGACTCTTTCTACCCTTTCCTCCCTCTTTCTAGGACCCCATTATGAGAAAGGTGTTTTTCCTTGATAGTGTCCCACAGCCTCTGAGGCTTTCATTTTCCTTCTTTTTTCATACTCTTTTTCAGATTGGAAAATCTCGAATGACCTGTCTTCTAAGTTCTCTGATTTCATGTCTGCCTGATCAGATCTACTCTTGGCATCCCTTTCAATGAAGTTTTCATTTCAGTTACTGTAATTTTCAACTGCAGAAGTTTTTTACATAGTTCTTTTTCCATAATTTCTGTCTCTGAGATCCTCATGGATCATATCATTTCCTGTAGCTCTTTAGATACTGTTTCATTTACTTGGGACACACTTAAAATAGCTCAAATCAAGTTCAACATCTGAGCTTTCTCAGGGACAGCCTCCCTGGGTTGCCTTTTTTCCTGAATGTGGTCTGCATTACCTTGTTTTGTGGTATATCTTAAAATTTATTTTGTTGAAAACTGGACATTTTAGGTAGTGTAACTGGAAGTCATGATCTCCCCACACCTGGGAATTTTGTTGCTGTGTGTTGTTTACTAACTTTTCTGAACTAATTTCATAAGATATTTTTTGTTGTGCTTGGCCACTGAAATCTCCCTTAGCTGAGTAGTCGGGTAATTGATTGCTTCAAGCTCCTTACAGGCCTGGGATGCCTGCAAGTCTGCTCCACAGGGCTCCCGCAGCAGGCAACTCTAACTTCCTGTTTGCAGAGAGTCTCAGGGTGAGCCCGAGGTGGGAGCCTGGGGCCGGGAGTCTTTCCTGAGGATGTGGTCAGGCCTACCATACACCCGCCCTTCAGTGTGCCCAAAGTCCCTGGGAACATCTCACTCCCAGCATATCCTTTCAAGCCTTTTCATCAGCCTCAACTGTTACCCACTATTTCAGGCAGTTGCTGAATTCAACAATTGCCTTTAATTATCTAGACAAACACTCCCTGGGAAAAAGTGTCTGGGCCTAAGAGATCTACGTCCAGTCTGGCCTCCAGGGCTGCCGTGGAGAGAGGGTGGGGCTGAGAGGAGAAGAGCTGGAGGTGGGAGACGATGGGGTGGGAGCAGGGAGAATGGGTGGGGGCAGGGCAGTTTACAGCCACCGCACCTGCACTGGCCTTTAAAGATCGGCCCTTTGGAGTGGACATGCCTCAGGTTGCTGCTGCCCACCTTGGGTTAATTTCTGGAGTTCTGAAAAAGCCATTTTTTTTAGCACATGACTTTGGTGTCCAATTTTAATGTAATTGCAAGCTTAGGAACTCCTGGTAGTACGTTTATTTTACAATACTCTGTCTTCTGCATATGTCATGGTCCAGTCAATTTTGGATCCTTCAACTCTGGTTTTTATATAAAATTCTATTCACCCTAATTTCACCCTTTATTCCTTGGGTTTGGCTCGTGCTTTATTTTTTTTAAAGTGGAAAGAAATTAAGCCCAAGGTGGGTTTTGGATATCTCCAGGAGGGTCTGGGGCCCAAGGGGGCCCACCTGACAGGCCAGGATAGCAGCCTGCTGACCGGATATGCTGCTGGGCCTGGCGCCCACCCACCCTCTCCTGGGAGGGCAAAGGAGGGTGACCGCTGGGAGGGAGAGAGGCGGGGAGGGAGCTTTTTAATGCAGGTCGCTGTACAGCATCCAAGTTTACAATTTAGTTTATGCTTAAGCTGAAGCTGTGCTCCAGTTCTCTGCTAGAAGGAGAGGGCTGTGTCTGGAGTTATTACTTAGCTCTTCCAAGGGGTAAAGTCTTGCTCAGATCACAGTGTCTCAGAATGAAGGTGACTGCCTTTGCTTCTGCCTCAGACAGCAACATCTGCTTTGAACTGTAATTCCTAGAAAGACCAGGGCCGTGGGGCGCTGTGAGTGGGGTATGAGCCGCACAGGGAGGCCCAGCCACCTGCAGCCTCTGCCTTCTGTCAGAGCCCTGCTGTCTCTGCGGATCAAGCTGGACCCCAGTCAATAAGCCCTGGAAGTGTCCCAGGAGAGGCCACCCTGTTTGGAGCAGACTAAGTCCATACAAGAGGGGAAATGGCACGTCAAGAACCGAGGGACACTTCTGCTCCCGGGGATGCATAAACGAGAATCTCTAGGGTAATGTTGAAGACAAATGGTGATAGTTGGGTTTCCCCCCCCACCGTCTCAGAGCAGAGGCTCTTAACATTTAATGATTTACTGATAATTACTTTAGAACTTTTTGTAGCTTTTACCAAACAAAAATCTCATTCCTAATTTTCTACTGATTTTAAGCATCAACGTTGTAAAAAAAAAAAAAATATCCAGCAATGTAAACTTGGACAAAATCCAGGCAATTGACACAGAAGAATTCTTGAGAAGTAAATTCTCCTAAGATTCCTGAGACAAGCTCTATTCCTTGCCTGATTCCAGCACTGTTCATATTTTTTGTTTTTTCCTCCATATTTTCGACGGTTAATCCGTTAAGCCTATGGCTCAATCGCCTCTCCTTGTACAGTCTGAAGGGCCTGTAGAGATTCAGCCACCAGATCGTCTTAGATGCTTAGAAGCTGCGGCAACATCAAGTAATGTCTGTTCTGGGGCTACAGGCCGCTTGAATGCACGACCTTCTCTAGCGTGTCCAAGAGTCTGTCACCGGCAGCGCCCCTGCCGCCGGCCCAGAGGCGCGAGGAGGTTTGGAAGGCATCTGCTTTCGTTTAGTCCCATCTCAGGGTGCCTTTGAAAAGCTTGACTGACGACTCAGGGAATTCAGCCAAGAGCGTTGTGTCAAAAACCTGCTTGAACTTATCTAAAAACTCATAATCGGTGCTGTGTCTGAACTTGTTGGCCCAGAGCAGCACCGTCGCCGGCCGGCAGAGGTGGGCCATGGTGGCGAGCAGCGGCTGCAGGCAGTGGTGGTGGTAGACCACGTCCGAGGCCAGGACGTAGTCGTAGTGGCACGCGGCCCTGGGGAAGTGCTGCTCCAGGCCTTCGCCCCACACCAGCTCCCGCACGTCGGGTAGGTGTGCCGCCCGCGTCAGCGTGTTCCTTAAAAGGTTGTACTGCAGGTTTCCTAGGATGTCCGGCATGTCCGTTGCTGTGACTTCAGCACCTGCGGGAGAGAGAGAAGCTGGGAGCATTTGGGCAGCCGTGGAGACCGTACAGAGAGAACCCGGCTGTGGCCCTATTGCCAGGGGCTGGGCATGTTTGACCTGGTGGCTAATTCCCTCTTGGGGAGGGGACCCCGCGCCTTGAGAGGTGCAGTGAGAGGTTCAGCTTCCTCCCTGCTCTCTGCCCAGGGGACGCCAGGAGCTCCTCACCCCACCCCCAAGTCCTGAAGCTCAGTGTTGTCTCCAGACACGTCCAAATGGCCTGTGTGTGGCAAAGTGCTTGGGTTAAGGGCCGCTGAGATGGAATAACGCGTGTCCCTCTTTCAAGTTAGACAGTAATGCAAAGTCAGGAGAGGTCAGGATCATCCGTCAAACACACCAAGGTTCTCAGCATCTGCTTCATGGAATAATTCACACTTTCCCTCGGAAAATTCTCTTTATCTGAAGATCATCTCTGACCTAGGGAATTTGCCATCCACTTCTCTTTCCAGGACAAGCTATTTTGTGTGACTCTCGCTTGGCTAAATTCTCACACTCACCCTTGGGAGCTCAAGGCCAGTGACCAGGGCACACGGGGCCGCCCTTTCTGCGGGGCCGGGAGAGACCCACACGGGGCCGCAGGACGGTGCCGTACTTGTGCCCCGGGCCCAGCAAATCTCGGCCTGCATTTTAAGTATAAATCTTTCCTCGCTTTGGACTAGCTCACTTGTTTTATTCAAAACGTGAGCTGCGATGGTTGCAACAGAAGCAGGAGGCTCACGGCGTGGGTGCTCACGGCAGAAATGTGAGTCTCCCCTGAACGTCCACTTCCTCGCATGCTAAGCTCAGCCAGGCAGCTCTCCTGACGCCCTCGAGCGCACGCCTCTCCCCTCTGGGGGTGACAGTGGCGGGTCCTGGGTGGAGGGGTGGGTGTCAATGAGTGACATCCTGGCTGACACCCGAACCGCAGCCCGCCCTGCGCCAGCCGTCCCTGTCACTGCCACAGGAGTGAAAGTGCTTCGAAAGGTCCTTCGAAGCAAGTCAGGGAGAGACAAACCAACCGACCTAAGATACTGGCCACAATGGAGACCAGGCCCGGTCCAGCACCGATCTCAAGTATTTTAGCGTCTTGGAGGTTCAGTTCCTCTGCGTGTTCCTCCAAGTACCGGCACAAAGCTACGGCCTGAAACATCACAGGGGTCACCTGCCCGTTGCAGTCCTGGACCCCAGGGGCCACCCCGCCCCCTAGTCTAATGCCACAGCATGTTATTAAGAGGCTCAGGGTTTTGAGGATTCAGAAGAACCAAAATGCCCCTTGAATGCCATGTGTGGACTGCGGGGACATGGAAGTCGGGCACCAGAGGGACTCGAGGAACGGGTGCGTCAAACCCCTGCAGCAGAAAGGCCGTCGGGCTCCAGGGTGAGACGATGTGCTCCCCCGGCCCGGGAGTGTGGGGCGCAGAGCGGCCTCTGCCCGCCGTCGAGCGCGGCTGGCTGGGCTCCTCCGACCCCGAGTCCTGCCTCCTCTGTTACAGTGCGAGCGAGCCGGGCTCTGCCCCAGCGGCCGCGGGCACAGGGCGCCTCCCACACGGGCCCGCGGGCCGCGGTCGGGGCTGGCGGACGAGGCTCATGCCCCGCAGCAGCCGGCCCGGGCCGTGTGTTTCTAACAAGCCACCCGCCGACGCCCGGGCTGCCACCCCGGGACCACCCAGGGCTCAGCGGACACCCAGGACCTGTGTCCAGGGCGGGGGAGTCCTGCACGCAGAAACCAGCCTCCCCCTCTCACTGTCTCCCGCCTCCGCCTGCCGGCCTTCCAGGGCGGGAGCAGCGCCTCTGAGGAGTTGGCATCATGCCCGGGAGCTGCCGCACCCCGGCCCGGAGGGCGAGGCCAGGCGAGCCCGCAGGAGGATGTCCTTGTGCCGGGAAGAGCAGTGGAGGCTCTCCGGGGGTGTCTGCTCGTAGGACCCCCTCCCTCGACCACCTGGGCTCCTGACACCCCACTTTCTTGGGCCTGGCAGGGGTGGGGGCCAGCGTGTGAGATGAGCCGCCGTCACCAGCCACTGGCAGGATGGGCAGGCCCGCCCCGGCCGCTCCCGGTCCTGCTGCCCGCACCCCAGCAGAGAGAGGAGTCCGCGCGGGCACCCTGGGCTCTGCCCTGGGCTGAGCGGGGCCGGGCTCGGCGGTCAGGGACAGAGAAGAGGCACCTGCCAGGAGCCAGGGCGGTCCAGGGAGAGGCACCTGGGCACCTATGGACGCGCACCCGCAGGCCAGGAGGGGAGACGCGCCGGCGCCAGGCCAGAGCCGCAGGTGGAACAGCTCAGGTGAGCCGTGAAGGCGCAGACAGAGCAGGTGCACGGGGCGGGGGAGGGGGGTTGGGGGGGTGCTGGTTGCTGCGGCTGCGGGAGGAAGGCAGTTCTTTCATTATTCACCCCGCGGCGGGCAGTGTGAGGGGAGCGGGTCCCCAGGCCGGCAAGAGCACACGTGCTTTGAGGGCCCCCAGCAGACGGCCGTGGGGTAAGTGGGGGTGCAGCCGGCGCCGGCCCTCGCAGCCCTGCCGGAGTCAGCTCGCCGCACGGAGCAGGAAGACCAGTTGTCGCGGGTCCTCAGATCTGCTGTTACGTCTCCGCTCAGCCAAAGCCTGCGCTTCGAGGAAGCCAGAACCGCTGGCAAGGTGTGAAGCCGGGCTTCCCTGGCGGGGGGCAGGAGCCCTACGTAGGGGACCCCCCGGCTGCCCTGCTCTGCTCCCTCCCAAGGCGCCCCTCTACCTGGCCACAAGTACCCCGACCCCCTGACCCCCCGACTCTGACCCTCAGGGAGGCCCGGGCCCTGGTGTGGAGTCACAGCCCCCCCCCGGACCTGGAGCGCCCTGACGGGGCCTCCCTGGGCAGCGGCTGGAAGAACAGCGGGGAGCAGGGGGGACGGTCGCCCCGGCCCCAGGCCCCGGAACAGCTGCTCCAAGCCAGCTCCCGCCCGAGCCCCCCCAGCTGCAGGCTGGAAACGGCTGAGTGAAGCCACGTAGCTGGGGTCCTCAGAGCAGGGCCCGCCGGGCCTGCCGCCACGGCGCTGGATGCGGAGCAAGGCCAGTGGGGGCGCGGGGGGCAGGAGCCCCGTCCTGGCCACCCCGAGGGGCGGCTGCAGGGAGTGGAGGTGAAGGCCAGGCCTGGGGGCGAGGCCCCTGCCCTGGCCCCAAAGCGCACGCTGCAGCCCCTGAAGGCTCAAGTCTGGCTTTTCTTCACCGTTAGTCTGAACTTCCGACCTCCCGGTTTAGTCGAGTCCATCTTAATGTAAAAAACAATGTTTCAAGGAACCGCTTGGAGGAAGAGCAATGCTTTTGGGAGAGAGGCTGTGTTTGGGGGTCCCAGACGTACCCCAAACTGGGGGCCTCACGGGAGGAGCCGCGTGTTAAATAAAGCACTTGGCAAGTTGTCCCTGGGGCGCAGTGCTCAGAGTCCCCCCAGAGCCCCCGACACCCCGGGGGGCCGCGCGCTCACCGCCGGCCACACCAGCGCCCCGAGATTCTCCAGGGACTCCTGAAGGACGATCTTCTCGCCTGCAAACTCGTAGTCCTCCTGCGTGTAGCTGGCGGCATGGGTGGGAACAAATTTCTGGAGGCTCCGGAGAGATGTCCCCGCTGTGCTAGAATCTGGGGGGAGAAAACCCAGCAGGTTTCACCTTCGTGGCCCCGGCGCGAATCTGGGGGACGGCGCTGGCCGGGCAGGAGCGGCCCCAGCAGTCCGCCCGCCAAGGGCCGAGCCCGTCAGCACCGCGGCTCCGAGGGCACGAGCCGGGCGGCGGGGACACTGCTCAGACGGGACCTGGCCTCTAGAGCCACAGGCCAGAGGGCGGCTGGGTGCGCTGCCCTGCGGGGAGGCAGGCTCGCCCCCACCCGCGTCCTGGCAGCGCCACCCGGCCGGCGCATGGCCCTGACTGTTTTCAGGTCTTTACGTGAAGCCAACCCAGCGCATTCCCCGAGGGCTGCCTGCAGAGGCTCCCGCAAAGGAGCAAGTCACCGAGGAGGAGCCGGCGCCACAGTCCTGGGGGGGGGGGGGTCAGACGAGCTCTGGCTATTAAGTTACGATGCCTTCAAACATTCCTCAGCACTCGTGACCCAGCCGAGCTCTCAAGTGTCACCTGAGGGGAGAGCAGAGAGCGCCTGATCGGCTGGCATCGCTGGCATCGCAGAGCATCTAAGGATAAGCAGAGCAGCGAGCAGGGATGTCTGCAGTGAGGATGCTGAGCAGGGAACTGGGGGGCAGCAGTACCTGCCGCGGGGAGTGTGGTGGGGGAGCTCCTGAACCCAGTTCTGCTGCCTGAGATAGGCCTGGGGATTATCTTTTTAAATTTTGTAACGAGGTCATGTTGGTTCACAGCACGATGGACGCTGCAGGGCGGCCCCTGACGTCAGCCTCGCCGGCACCGGAGCCCAGCGCCCATCCGTCACCACAGCAGCCCCTGCAGCCACACCCCACCCTCGACCCTCGTGCCCTCTGAGGACCCCCAAACTCGCCTCTCTAAGAGCTTTTTTTTAAAAGATTATTTATTTATGCATATGTAGGGTAAAGAAAATGTCAGGCTTTTCTGCCCTCCCGCCATCAGGAGAGATGATGGAGCCTTGCGGTCCCAAATGCATGCCTGATGGCGGCACCTGGAGTGGGGTGTGGGCCTAGGTAGATGGGATTCACCTGGGCTGAGACTGGGCTTTTAAGGGCGGCGTCACGGGGACGCCAGCAGAAGCCGAAAGAGAAGCCGAGAGAGAAGCAGAGAAGGCGGGAGAGCCCAGATAGAGTGAAGACTTTCTGGGGGCTGGGAGGCCTGCCAACCTCCCGGCCCCCCAGCACCCCTGCCTGCCATATGCCTGGTGAACCCCAATAGAAAACCTGCAAAAAACCACTGAAGACTCTGACACCTCCTTTACCCGGTCTGCATGGGATCCTAGAAAACCTGCCCTGTGTCCAGTCCTGCCCTTACAGCATACAAGAGCTGGGGTACAGGCTAGAAGTGTGGGGGTGAGAGGATCCACCAGAGACAGAGTGGGGAACAGAACAGGCAGACAGACTGAAATACCCTGCTGAGGGGAGCAGCGGGGAGTCAGGAGAGGTCTGCCGCACCATGTGGGTAGCTCCCTGGCCGGGGACCGAGCTCGTGCTGCAGTGGCTGGGGGCAGCTTCATAGATCGTGTCTCACCCCCTTGCGCCAGCAGGGAGGCCCTCTAAGAGTTCGTTTTTGCCTGGCTCACTTGCTGCTGGGCAGCTCCACATGCCGCGTGTGAGTGAAATCCCAGCTCACGCGTGCGGGGAAATGGAGCGAGTCGGCTCTCTTGGGCCACCAGCCTCCACGCCACCACCTGCGGCCTCGCTCTCCGCCCAGGCTTCACCGCCCACACGTGAGATCGTGCTGGTGCAAAAAGCACCTGGGAGCTTGAGCACGGGGCTCCCCCGACACCCGGGCAAGAGGTGCGTGTGGGCGCGCGCGCCTGCGATGCCAAACACCTGGGCCGAGAAGAGGCGCGTGAGGGGTTTGCACCTGTCAGGACGGACCGAGATTGAGGAGAAGGCTATGAGAGAAGCCAGAGGCAGTGTGGGCGTGAGGGGGAGACTAGGGGGGCAGTCGCTGCCCACCTCCCAGCTCCCCTGCCTCCCTGCCCGCCCTGAGCGGGTGGCCACAACAATGTGTCCTTCCCCGTCTGAATCTCTTCACTCGGCATAATGGCCTCCAGGTCCCTCCATCTCGCCAAGCATGGATGGAACCTGGGCTGTGGGAAGCAGCTGTCAGGAGTGTCGGCTTAGCAGCTGAAGCGCCCTAATCCGAAATGCGCGCTGGAGCTGGAGGCGGGGTGTGGACACGAAGCGAAAGGGAGGGGCCTTCGGGGAAGCTCACCAGGCCCCGCTGCCCATGGTGCCCGCCAGGTCCCTGCGGAGTCCAGGCGTCCTGGAGCAGGTCTGCGGGGCTGGCCAGCACACCCGCCTGGCCCGGCCAAGGTAAGGAGAGCAGGAAACGTGCAGGAAGCATCTAGAAATGTCTGCACTGATCTGTCTTTGCCATGCGTCATTTGTCGTCGTCGTTTGTCAATGTCCGTTGAATGTATTTACCCCCCCAAATACGGGGCTTATATTTTATTTGTGTGTACACTTTGGTGTTCCAGAAAGTCTTGTTGCATTTTATATAAAAAAATCAATTAGTCTTTGATCACAGTGTGAAAGGTTTGGGGGAAGCTGCATGTAAATGAGCGTGATGGGGGACTCCAGAGAGCGGTTCTTAGCCACGGTTCTGCTAGAGAAGTCTCTGCCCTGACTGGAATGTGGGTGTCCAGACCCCTGGAACTTCACTGAGCATGCAAGAACCTGCTAGCAAAGTCACTGCTGAGACCGTGTCCCTGGTGTCACAGGTCCGGGCTGGGCTGGCGGGGAGGGCAGGAAGAGATCCGTGACCGTCGCCTGCCTGCTGGGGTGGAGGCTCGTGGCACAGACCCTACACACCCAGGATTTATGAATGACCGAAGGACCCACGCTCCCGGCACGGGGTTGAGAGGCTGATGCTGATTTCTGTTTTGGGGACTAGAAGAAGGCGGAGGAATGGACCCAGGTGTGCAGGCGGTGAACCAGTTTGGGGGAGAAGCCTCTGCAGGGCTGTGTTAAAGGACCAGGGGAGGTCACCAGCAACTCTGTGCCTCTGCTCCCCCACCCGCAGGATCCCCACTCCGTGGACATCAGCACCCTCAGGAGCAGCCACAAAGCAGTCAGCCCCGATGAGGCGTATTTATCCTGTTTTTTATATACCCTTATCTATGAAAAACAGTTGACAAAATAGATTCTAAAATCTTTTTCACTCTAAGTTTACGTAACTTCAGTTTCAGCAGCGGTGATGTTCAACAACCAACTCACAACAGTCCAGAAATCCAGGAGCTGGTGCAGGTCAGGGGGTCCAGAAGTCGGGGAGAGCTGCACCCCAGAAGTCGGTGACGGAGCAGCCAGAGCAGCTGAGGGTGCCCTCCTAGTAGCTGTCGCCCAGACCCGCCTCCCCTCCCTTCCGCCCACCGTCGGGGGGGCTCATTTTGCTCCTTAGACGGTAGGAAAAGCCGAAGGCTGATTTTGAACGGCTCGTCATTTCACAGACGAAAAGACAGACAACAAGCTGACAGCTCTGCTTGCCCAGCGACATTGGGAAAAAGTAGATTCTCCCCTGACTCTTTTAAGTTCTACAGAGATAGGGCCTCCCTGGTGGCGCAGCGGTTGAGCGCTGGGTTGCGAAGCTGCCCGCGGCCTCCGTGGCGCAGGTTCGATCCCCGGCTGCTCCCCGTCCACCGGAGGAGGGTCCCGCATGGTGCGCAGACCTCTCCTGCAGCCCGCTGCTCCCCTCAGCAGTGTCCCTCGGTCCTTCTGCCTGCTCTGCTCCCCGCTCTGGCTCTGGTGAATTCTCTCACCCTCCCGCGCTTCTGACTGTACCCAGTGCATGTATAAACAAAACAAACAAACAAACAAAGAAAAACATGCCTCTATAAAAAAAAGAATTTATATAAGTTCTACAGAGATAAAGAAATACATGTTACTGCACATTCAATATTGTCATTTTACCCTGAAGTTTTAGATCAGATTTTAGAGGTAGGTAGAGCTGCACGTTGGGTAAACAGTTCCGTCAAAATAAACAGCATGCTGATTTCATGGAACTGGGGCCTAAGTTTACCCCTTGAAATGATCGTAGATGTTTTAAATGGCACGCCATGGCTTTTATGGGATCATCTGTGTGTCTGTTATTCATCACCGCTGAGTCTGTGCCCAGAACTGGCCCCTAAAACTGCTCCATTGGGAAACGCACTTTGCTTTAAGGGGCTCGCTCCCGGGAGACAGTGCCAGGAACACGCATCGGTGAAAAGCAGACAGACCCTAGACTTCATTGCTTTTCCAAAGTCATTATTGCAAAAATAGAACAATCCTAGGTTCACACACAAGGTAAAACCAATCTGGGGGCTTTGAAAGTAAATGATTACAAGCTCACGATGTCTTTGCATGCAATGCTGAGGCTCCCACGAGGGCATTTTTCTACTTAGCTTCATGAAATCATGTTAACCAGACTTGTGGGGCGCATCTCCCAGCCCCCGCAAGCATGCAGAAACTGTCAGCTGAAGCCAAGGCTCTACGTCAATGACACCGCAATAAAGAAATTAAGAGTTAAAAGAGAATGGAAACCACTATCGAAGTGAACGGGAAATGCCATCACCACGCAAACAACTGGGGAGGCGTTGAGGTGAGGAAGGAGGTTACCTCCTGGGGGTCCCCCGGTGCCATCTTTCTGGAGCTGCTCCTCTACCGTCGCCTCTTCCCAGCCACCTGGGGGGCTGGGCTGCCCCTGGGAGCTGAGACGCCCGTCCATCGTGGAGCCGTGGGCGAGGAAGAGCCGACCGGCCCCGGTCACTCAGCCGTGTCTGCAGCTCCAGGGCTCCGGGAGGCGCAGCTTATCGCCTTCCCGGCTGCGGAGCTGTAAAGAGCACCTGCTTCACGGCTTAGTTCCCCGGGCCAGCGAAGCAGCCAGCCAAGGCGCTGCTGTCCACTCCTGCAGAGAACACAGCTCCCTGAAATGCCCCGACCTCATCTGGGCTTGAAGAAATGCAAACCCAGCCGGCGGCAGCCAGGACACCGGCCCTCGTGACTGGGCTCTGACAGGGATTTCTGGAATATAGTTCCAACAGCTCTTTGCAGCTAAATCTTAACACAGAAAATCTGTAGGCACCACCAGGGGCTCAGGACATCGGGGCTGAGGAGCCAGCCGTGGCCGGCACAAGGCTGCCTTCCCTTCGTCTGCGGTTTGATGGTGAGATGGTGGGACGCTCTGGGGCTGAGCCAGGAGCCTGCTGGAGCTCCGCACTCGGACACCTGGCAATGCGCTCTGCCATTTCCTCATCAGCAAAAAGGGGATAATAACATCCGCCTGCCTCCTCGGGCAGCAGCGAGAAACAGGAAAGCAAAGGCGGCTGGAGAGGCCCAGGAGAGCGACACCTGATTTAGACCTAGAGGCCCGGCTGCGGGCATCGGAATGACGCCACCTGGTGTGGCTGCAGGACTTGCTGTCGGTCGATCAATAATGTGAAGGTTGTTGATTATCTCCCCAGAAAACCCTAGAAGTAGATGATGGTGGTGATGATACTACCGCTTCTCGGATGAGTGAAATTCAATTTCAAAGATTAAAAATCTCCCCAAGAGCAAGCGGCTGGGGTGGGGGGTGGCAGAACCAGGAGGTGGATCCCCTGGCCCAGCTGCAGAATCCTCGTCCTCAACCCTGAGCCGGGCTGCAGCTCCAGTCACCCTGCTTCAGCCTTGGCCGGCCCTGCCTCATTTGCCCTGAAATGACGCCTCATCTCAGCTGTCACGTGACCTTTCTGGCCTGTTTCCTCTCCTGTGCCCTCACCCTGAGTTGCGTCGCCCCCCACCAGGACGGCCCCATGGATTGCTCCAGCGCGCTGGGGGCGCTCAACCTGCCGCCACGGCCCAGATGTCCTAACACCCGCCAGAAATCCCGCCACGCGCGCCCACTCCCGGGAGCAATCCCCCACGCACAAGAAGGGTCACCCCTCAGCCAGGCGGTCCCATCCACACCTGGACAGGGGCCTCTGCCGGCTTTCAAACAAATGAGACAGCTGGGAGAGTGGCTTAGCCTTTTTGCTGGCTCAGGCGTCAAATCATCCAAGAGGGAGCCTAACTCTCCAGCTCAGAGCGGCCGGGGCTCCCCCGTCTGTGGCAGCTTCTGCTCTCACAGGTACTTACCTGCTCTTCCTTTCAGCTTTCTCACACTCCGGGGGGCTCCCCCCCGCAGCTAGTGGGCTGTTTGCTTTGAGTCCTCAGCCCCCTCTTCTGTATGGCAGTTCCAGCCTCTGGTGAGGAGCCCAAGGGAACCGGCCATGTTCAAGGTCATGCTCAATCCGCCTTGAAGACGTAGAGAATGGTGATATTTAAAGCATTGACCAAAGAAGAAAGAAAAGTGTGTGTGCATGAGTGCGCACATGCATGCAGGTGTGTGCTTGTGTGTGCACCTGTGTGCACTCGCATGCGGTGGAGACAAGGGTCGTGCCATCTGACACATGTGCACCTGTAGGGGCAGGACTGGACACAGGGCAGGTTTCCTGATCCCAGGCAGACCGGGTCAAGGAGGAGTCAGAGTCCTCAGTGGTTTTTTTGCAGGTCTTTTATTGGGGTTCACCAGGCCTACGGCAGGCAGGGGTGCTGGGGGGCCAGGAGGCTGGCAGGCCTCCCGGCCCCCAGCAAGTCTTCACTCTGGGATCTCTGGCCTTCTCTTGGCTTCTCTTTTGGCTTCTCGGCTTCTGCTGGCGTCCCCATGATGCCGCCCTTAAAAGCCCAGTCTCAGCCCAGGTGAATCCCATCTACCTAGGCCCACACCCCACTCCAGGTGCCGCCATCAGGCATGCATTCAGGACCGCAAGGATCCATCCTCTCTCCTGATGGCGGGAGGGCAGAAAAGCCTGACATTTTCCCTTACCCTACAGCACCCCTTTTCTGCCTTCACACCCTTACACAAACATGATCCCACGTGATGCTCGGAGCCACTGTGGGGGAGTCACTGTGGGGGAGCCACTGTGGGGAAGCCACAGCGAAGGCCTCAATACCAGGGCACCAAGTGGGAGCAGAGGTGCAAAGAGTCGCTCTTCAGGGGCTCAGAGACCGTCTTTGCCAGCGTGGACAGGAAAGCAACGAGTGGAGTGAAAACACTGTCATGAAAGAAAGCGCTGGCAAACTGCTTCGTTCATGTCAAGACTTCTGCTCCATACAAGACAAACATGTGGCAAGAGAACGACATGGACCACAGACTGGAAGACGTACTCTTCAAAAGATTAACGTGATGAAGAAGGATGGCCCAAATCCACACAGAACGGTGACAGTCCCGCTGGAGACAGTGAGCAGTCAGGCGTGCCCTGGGGCGAGGGCAGAGGCAGTAGGTGGGGCGCCGCCTGGCCCTGGAATGGGGGACGCGGGCCACGAAGCCTTTGCCAAAACCCGCAGAGCGACCCGCAGGTCCGCTCTGACGCTGTGGTCCCGGGGGTCAGGGCGGGCTCATCGGCGCCGCCGCGGGGCTGCTCCAGGTGGAAGCACCGTCTGCCGCCAGAGGCTTCCACAGCAAGAACGAGGGCGGGTTCCTGGAGGGAACATGGAGTCCGTCAGGCTCGTTCCGCCTCCCGCTGCCAGCCTCGACGGCCACCCCCTGCGGCCTCGTTGTCCTCCCAGTTTCACGGCCCACACGCGACCGCGTCGCTGCAGAAGGTGCTTCGAGGCGGAGCTCGGGGCGCGCACACCTGTGACGACGGACACCTGGGCCGAGAACCAGGCGCCTGGGAGAGAAGCCGGGAGAACGCAGAGATCACAGGGGCCGGGAGGCTCAGCTGCTGCCTGGATCTGGTCCCCGGCCTCCCCGTTAAAGGTTTGTCAGATTGTAGGGTACGGAAAAATGTCAGGCTTTTCTGCCCTCCCACCATCAGGAGAGACGATGGATCCTTGCGGTCCTGAGTGCAGGCCTGATGCGGGCACCTGGAGTGGGGTGTGGGCACAGGTAGATGGGATTCACCTGGGCTGAGACTGGGCTTTCAAGGGCGGCGTCACGGGACGCCAGCAGAAGCTGAGAAAGAAGCCGATGAGAGAAGCAAAGAAGCAGAAGCAGAGAAGGCCAGAGAGAGTGCGGATTTGCTGGGGGCTGGGAGGCCTGCCAGCCTCCCGGCCCCCCAGCACCCCTGCCTGCCATGTGCCTGGTGAACCCCAATAAAAGACCTGCAAAACCACTGAGGACTCTGACTCCTTCCTCCTTTACCCGGTCTGCTGGATCAGGAAACCTGCCCTGTGTCCTGTCCTGCCCTCCACACAGATCTACCAAGGCCCCAAGTTGGCCCGAATCAACCATCCAGCTGGCCGCCCTGCGCCTGGCCGCCCGACCCTTTCAGTTCCGTTTTCTGAGGAAACACATCTAACAAGCCGATCTCTCACGCAGCCTTTCTCACAACGGAACAGGATCCCCGAATGGAAATCAGAAATCAATCGTCAAGTCTTTGCAAGCAGAAACCCTAAGGGCGGAGCAGCTGAGATCTTCACCTGTCAGGTCAGCTGGCTCCCTCCCCGCCTCCGCCCGCAGGGCAGCCCCGGGGCGCGCTCTCAGGCGTTAGCAGGGTCCTTCCATCCCTCACGCGCGGTCAGAATGGCAGGTGCCCGAGCCCGCAGACCGTGAGATCAGAACGACTCAGCCCCACGTCCCGGCAAACGGCCGTCTTCTCTGGCAGGGTCTCCTTGGAAGCCGTGAGCAAGTGGGCAAACGTGCCCTCGTCGCGCTGCTGCCACCTGGAATTCTCCACGTGCGTCCCCACAGGGGGTCCCTGCGCTGTGCCCGTCTTAGAGGCTCTTCCATCCAGAACCCACCCTCCAGCAAGCAGTGCGTGCCCGGGGCTCCCGGAACCTCCGAATTCTCATCCCAAACGGCCTAAACCAGCTCTCAGCATCCTCACCCAGAAGAAAACAGGACGTTTCTCACCATCACCCTCTGCGGGCGCTCCCTGGCGTGGGGGACAGAGCTTCCCTCATGAAATGGGGTGACATGGGCTGGGCGTTGCGCGTCAGGTTGGTATTATTAGGTGTTTAGAAGGTCGGCGGTAGCTTATTTACTCCCTTTGGAAAACGATAGGCCAGCGACAGCTGGGTTTTGCGGAACCGACGGCATGCTGACCCAGAAGGAACGCTCGCCTTGAGGTTCTTGGACGCAGGGCCTGCTTTCCTGTCCAGGGCCCAGTCTATTTCTGCACAGCAGGGAGAGGTGATCAGCCTTATTTTGTAACCATCCTTGTCACCCTAGGGGGATGTGCATGTTCCAGCCCTGGTAATGAGTTGGCTAATATACAATTTTATGTGTTTCTGAACATTTCGGGGGGATTTCTGTGTGGCTGGGAAAACCATGGGTTATTTGTGTGCTGTGCAGTGGGATCAGCAATCGGTGTCTTATAGATTTTAGGAAAACAAGCCAACAACTTCTGGAATTTATGAGTCTGAAGATAAATACCAAGATAAAACAAGTTCTCCCTGCAGGGAACTGAGTCCTAGAAGAAACAGAGTATCAAACCGTGCAGCTGTAGCTGGGCAGAAGTGCTCTCCCTAAGCCTTCCCTCTTCCTCTTTGGATTTTATTTTATTTTTTATTTTTTTAAAGATTTATTTATTTACACAAGCACTGGGGTACAGTCAGAAGCGCGGGAGGGTAAGAGAACTCACCAGAGCCAGAGAGGGGAACAGAACAGGCAGACCAACGAAATACACTGCTGAGGGGAGCAGCGGGCGGCAGGAGAGGTCTGCGCGCCATGTGGGACCCTCCCCCAGAGGCCTGGGAGCAGCCGGGGATCGAACCAGCGCTGCAGAGACTGCGGGCAGCTTCGCAACCCAGCGCTCAACCGCTGCGCCACCGGGGGAGGCCCCTCTTTGGATTTTAATATAGGATTGGGACCGGCTTAAGCAGAAGGACGTATAGACAGACACACATACGCAATTTACCTGTAAGTCAAGATCTGAGCCCCGTCTCTATTCTAACCACCAAGTCAAGGTGAGAAGGTTGCTTAGATGATAAGACTGAGGTTTCCTTCACTTCAGTGTGACGTGATTCTAAGGCGAGTCAGTGACTTGGCTGCCATCACGGACCACAGCCCCAGACGTTCATCAACTCATGCAATCTGCCCCAGACATGCTCACGGCACCCGATTCCTCATTATCACTGGGACAGCTTTGGTATCACGATGCCCTTATCAATTAATTGGTGATAAGAATAAAATTCAACTTTATCAGACTCCAAGTATACTTTGATACTGATTTTCCAAATGTTTCCTTTGAGAATTTTATTTACACCTTATTACTCAGATTTGAAATGCTCTATTAAAATCATTAAAGAATGCACCTCCTCTTCCTCCCCTCATGAAGCCCAAAGCTTGTGAGGGTGCGGTAGGAGCTATATGAGGATGGAGCCAGCTGGAGAGTTGCAAGCAAAGGCTCCATGGAAATGGACTAGGACCCACCCGAGTTTGTTAAAAAACTAAGACCATTCAAAGCAGCGTGACCATGTGTACGTAGGGAAATCCAGTGGCAGGAGGAAGGAATCCAGTTTAGTCTGTCACTGCGCTCAGCTGTTCCCTCACGCGCTGCACTGTCCTGATCTTGAAGGCCGGCCCTTGAACAAACTCCACTGCGCACACGTGGGCGGAAGGTCCAAACAGGTGCCCACGGCCACTGGCCATATTTTTCAATTGTGAGGGAGACGCAGCGACATCTGTCGGACACTATGTGAACTACTAGCTCAAGTAGCAAGAGCGCCCCGGTTTTGGTTTTTTTTTGTAATTTATTTTTAAATAAATTTTATTTTTATATTCCCCATACAATTGCAACCCCCCCATTCTGACCCCAATCCCTCCCCTCCCGTCCCCCACCCCCCAAAAAGTGTCTCTGGTTCATAGTTTTTTGTTGATTTTGATTTTCACTTTCTTATAGTTATTCATTTTCCTGGTCCCTTATTTAAGTTTTCTAGATTCCTGCTATGAGTGAGACCCTCTGGTATTTTTCTTTTTCTTTCTGGCTTATTTCGCTGAGCATGATCCCTTCCAGCGCCATCCATGTTGCTGCAAATGGCATGTGTTTATCTTTTTTGAATGCTGAGTAATATTCCCTGGTGTAGATGGACCCCATCTTCTTGATCCAGTCATCTGTTTTTGGGCATTGTTCCCGTTTCTAACGAGGGGCGCTAGCTCCTTCCCTTTACATAATATCTGAGCCGTTGAATTTTCCAGTTGTGGAAACAACAGCTGAAATAAAAGTTGTAATGAAACAGGGCTCAAGTTCAAAATCTCAGTGTTCACATCACTAACAAACTTAGAGATAACGGCGATTCCACCGCCATGACCAAGCAACTTGCAAAAATACATCATGGTGGAGTGTCCAACCTGCTCCGCAGCGCTTGAGAATCTCTACTCCACAGGCACAAACGTCCCACAAGAAACTAGTCGTGGGTGTTTAAGAATGAAGTAAAAAATACCTTTCCTTTCAATTTATATTATTTTCTCAGACAACCCCTGAGTTGCTAAGATATTCACAGTCACTGAGCTATTTGGACCTAACCTATTTAATAGGCACAGCTGTTAGCTATTTATTTTGGCTGAGGGGTGCAATGAAAGAATTAAATACCCCGAGAACTTGGGGAACTTCTGACTTGAGGAATTTCTGTTTTCTCTATTTTTTTCCAGGTCAAGACCCCTGAACAAGGAAATTCTCAGACCTGAGTCTAAACCCTGTGGGGCTACTCCTGGCAAACGTCCTCTCCGCCCGTCCTCCTCAGCTCTCTCACCACCTTAAAACTGGGGCCAAATCCCCCAGTTCTAATGGCACGGGGCTGCGCCACCCCCCTGTGATAACTGGGCACCCACAGCCAAGAGGAAACACGTGTCTCAGCTCCCCAGGCCTGTGTGTCTCTGCAGGAAGCCAGCGTGTCTGTGTCACCAGAAGGGCTGGTCATTGTTTTGCCAACTTCCCCTCCAAATAGTAATTCATACTGGATGGCTTAGGCCAAATAGCTGACTTCAGAACTGCTTTTTCTCCAGCAGACATAGTCACCAGTAGCACAGGCACGTGTGCCGGGGAAGTGAGTGCTGCAGGCTGCGCGGGGGTGTATGTGTGTAAGGTCTGAGCGAGTTTCAGGGCTCTGAACAGCTGGTCTCTTCTGACCCTGCAAGTCAGACTTCCCGTGTCCACATGGTGTTTTGCTCATTTTTGTTAGGTCCAGTTCCCAGGACAGAGCCTGGTACGTGGCAGGTTACCTGGGCCAGCGGGTGAGTGTGACACACACACACCCGCGCCCCCTCCACCCCCAACACACATACCCAGGGCAGTGAAGCACCGTGGCTGCAGGAAAGGTAGTGCGCAGGGATGCTCAGAGACCTGCCGCCCTCCCTGGTTGTGCTGAGCGGTGGCTTCCTCCTGGCCCCCTCCACCAGGAAGCTCCTGGGTAGCCCTAGGGCCTCCCCAGCTACTCCAAGCCTGCGGGGGTCAGGTACGGGTCACTGGGCTGCTGTGGGTGCTCCTTGAGGTTGGATATGAGGTCAAAGGCCCCAGCAGGGTCTGGGTTCTCAAACCCACTGCTTCTTTTTGTGGCCTTTGACCTTGTTGAACCCCCATTGCTTTGGAAACTCTCTGCCTTTCGCGCCCAAGCCTCTAGTCCCTCTAGTCCCTCTCACCCAACCTCACCGCAGGCGAGAGCTCTGCCGACCCGCCCTTTGCTGGGCGTGGGGTGGAAAGAGCGCCCCGTCTTTGGAGATTAACTAAAGCGCAGACCACGCGCGGTGGGACCGAAGCCCGAGGCCTCTGCGCGCCCACCTGCTCCTCCCAGAAACCGTGTCCACACCGCGCAGAACCCCGCGACTCTCCTTTATTCATCAGAGAACAGCCCAGCAGACCCCGCTGGCCGCCGGGTCCCTCGGGCGTGGCCCCAGTCCGGAGGCACGAGGCTGAAGGACCCCAGGAAAGCCTCCAGCAAGTGTTTCGACGAACTACAGAGATCGGAGGAACTGGACACCTTGGCCACCAAGGGGAGCCGGAAATTCCTCTTCTTTAAAGCTTTTGGGGGAATAGCCCAGCGGACAGTTTTGGGGGTGACCTCCAGGGAGTCTGCGGGGACGCAGGCGTAGAAGAATGGGGGGCCCCGACTCCTCTCGGCGGGGGGACTGGCCTCCTCGGAGCGCGTGGGCCGAGCCAGCTTCTGCCTGCTGGGGGGGCGAGCGCCCCTTTCGGGGGGCTCCTCCCCGCCGTCCTGCGGCCTCCTCCCGGGGTGCGGCTGGTCACCGAGGTCGCTGGGCGCCCAGCGGGGCGCGCAGGCCCGGGTCGAGCTCTTCCCCGGCGAGTCCAACGTGGGCCTCTGCCTTTCTCTGCGCTCCGCGCCTCGGTGGAGCCGGCCTTGGCTCTTCGCAGGATGCAGCTTCACCTTTGATTCCGTCGAGGCGAAGAGGGACCGGCCCGTCTTGCCGCTGGTCGCGTCACTGGAGGAACAGGAGGAGGCCCCCGAAGGGACCGGGCCGCCGTTGGCGGGGCTCAGGGCGCCCCCGCACAGGCCGCGGGGCGCGCCGTCGCTCTGGGGGGACACCCTGCTCTTCTTGCTCTGGCGGGACCCGCGGGAAGGTGGGGTCCCGCTCGGGGGGTGCCCTCCGGAGCTCCCGGTGTGCTGGGACGGGCAGGCCTCGCTGGGAGGTGAAGTCTGCATTTTCTCCGCCTCGGGGAGACCCTGCCACGAGCCTCTCTGTCCTCCGCACAGGGTGTGTCCTGCTTCCCTGCGGAAGTAACGTGTGACTTCCCAAAACAGGCTCTCTTCCCCCGCACCCCCCTCCCGGGAGGGGCGCTCCTGCGCCTCAGCCCAGTTCTCAGCGTCCTTCAGGCCCTCCGAGGCGTCCTCCGAGGTGGGGCTGGAGCAGGGACCCGCCGACCGGGGCGCGCCGGCCGGGAGCCTGGAGTCGGAGGGTTGGCAGGCCTCTGCTTCTTGAAACCACACACGACATTTTTTCTCTCTTTCTGGGGTCACGCTGGATTTCGCCTCTGGAGGAACGGTCGTGTCTTGCTGGACTGTGCCCCTGGGACAGGGTGGCGCCCAGAAGGTTCTGGGGTGCCCCTCTCCCTGCCTGGCGACACCCCGGGGACCAGGGTCAGAAGCACGCACAGGAGCTGCCTCCAGAACTTTCCTGATGGCCGATGCGAGCTCAGGGAGACTCTTTTTAAAGGAGACGTGTCTCCCCAAGACCTGGGCGCGGACACGAAGCCGGCCGCCCTCCGCCCTGCGCCCCGCCGGCTTCCCCCTCGCGGCCGGGCTGGATTCAGGGAGACATTTGGGAAGGGCCTTGGACTTCGGGAACATTCTCGCTACAGGAAGCCCCAGGAGGAAGCGCTGGTATTTAAATTGTAAATCGAGATCTATTTGGTGAAGAGACTTTTCCTCAAATAGCAACACAATCCTCTTCCGTCGCTTCGGGGCTCGGAGGGCAGGGTGGGCACACTTGGCCAGCGGGCTCCGTCTGCCCTGCGCGCCGGCCATGGCGTGAGACTCTCTCGCCATCCTGGGAAGCGATTTCATCCGAATCTCCAACGTCCTCACTGAAAAGTGGGTGAGCAGCTTCTCTCTTTCTTCGGTGGAGAACTTCTGGAGGACGCAGGACAACGGCCTCTCGTCAGCAAAAGGCACGGAGGAGGCTCTGCCGGGCAGCGGGGTGATGCTCCTCGTCAGGACCTTCTCGCCGCCCGGGGAATCGCTCCCAGGCAGCCTCGGCCTGCAGCCGGCCAAGGAGGCCGCCCCTTGAGCGCTGCGCTCCGGGCCGACTTCTGCAGCCACCGTCCCGCAGCCGCTCAGCAAGCGCTCGCCCCGGGGTCCAGGGGACCAGCCCGATGGCCTCAGCCTCCCACCGCCGTGCCCCGGACTCAGCCCCCCTCCTGGGTGGCGGCGGCACTTCTGGGAGGACAGTTGCACCCTCTGTGGTATCAGACCCGCTTTGCTTTCCAGCGCCTTGGCGCGCAGGTGGCTGGCGAGCCTCCTCCTCTCCCGGGCGGTGACGTGCTCGAGCACGGCTTCTGGCCGCCCCGGGGCCGGGGCCCTGCAGGGGGGGCCTGGCTCTGCCGGGGGCGCTGGCTGCCCGGCCGCAGAGCTGTGGGCTCCGACTTGCTTCCGGACCTCAGCACACACTTTGTCTTGGATCAGACTTTCGAGCTGGGATTCAAACATATTTTTCACTGCTTCGAGAAGAGGCGAGAGGCTTTCCCCCGGGCCGCGCGCGCCGGCCACCGGCTTCCTCTCGCGGCTGGCCACCTGGTGCGGGGCAGGCCCCGGGCCCGGGGAGCTCGCCGGGGGCTGTGCCTCTGGGGTGCCGGTGTCCGGGGCGGGTTCCGGCAGACAGGGCTCCGGGGATGAGGCGCCCCCCGAGCCGTGGCCCAGCTGAGACCCCCCAGGGGCCGCTTCTCCTGCTGGCGGGGGAAGGCTCAAAGTCTGGGTGCTTGTCACGCAGCTGTCCAGCCTCTCCCTTGCGGCTCCAGCGGGAAGGGGCGCTGGTGCTTCGTCGTCTCGTTCCCTCGTGGGCGAGTCAGGGTCTCTGGTGGCCGCTGGGAAATCATGTCCGGGGACAGGCCCGTCCTCGGTTTGCGGAGTGAAAAATCTTCCCTTTCTCTCCCCGCTGAGGCCGGCTTCCCATGCCACGCCAGGGGGCTTCCGCGATGGCCACTCGGGTGCCGGCAAGGGCTGGGGCTCTGGGGGGCGGCGCCTGGCACCCCCGGGGCCGCCTCCTCCGGGGTGCTGGAGCTGATCCTGCTCCCTGGAGCTTCCCGCGTGTCTGCTGATTTCCCCGGGAACTCCGAGAGGCCAATTCTCCTTCCTCTTCTTGGGTTTCTCTCCGACACTCCCCCTGCCGTCGTCGGGGGCGGGCTCACCACGGCCACAGAGAGCCTTCTGATGGCTACGCCCGCGCCCTCCCCGCGCCACAGGAACATCTTGGGTTTGGTGAAGTCGTACTCCAGTTTCATTCTGTCGCTCGGAACCCCACGCCCCAAGTCGTCAAGGATGTGTGGAACTGGGTGACCTGGAGTGTTGATAGTTAAATATTTGGGGCTCAGTTCTCTTCTCAGATCTGCCATCGTGACTCTGCCCTTCCAGCCTTCAAATTTGGGGGGAAGCGGAATGTAGGCATAGAGAGAGTCCAGAACCACCTGTTTTGGCAACAGCGTCTGTGGCTGCGTGTCTTGGTCGGTCCCTCCGAGCTCCTTTTTAGGCTTTCGCCTCCCTGGGCAGCTTTTCACCCTGGGGGCCATGGCCTGAGTCTGCGCTGGAGATTTCGCGGCCTTGAGGGAAGGACCTTTGTGCTTCGGAGGATTGCTCCTGCCCTTTTTCAGTTTCTCCTTCTTCGCACTGACCTCTCCTGTTTTTCTCTCCTGCACATGCACAGCCATGCTTGTGCCTGGTTTTAATTTCCCCTTTTCCCTTTTGAGTGTCTTCTGCTCCCGATGCAGAACAGTGCCAGCGCCACATTCATCTCTTCCCACCTGGTCTGCAGGTCGTGGTGAAAAGGCCCAGTAGGGGGTAAGAAAGTTCTGGAGCGGTTCTAGGATGTTTTCCACTTGCTGGGAAGCCAGCAGGCACCGTGCTCCTCCCCTGCGCACGGCGCCCGCATGTGAGCCCGGCAGGAGCCGCGTGCTGGGGCGCAGCAGCATTGGCTTGCACGCGTCTGTTCCCAGGGGTGTTTTCTGCCTCCTCTTTGGAAGTGGCCACGAAAGAGGGCAGCTGGCGTTCTGCCCGGGCTGTGGCCCACTTTCAGACGGCAGCACCGCTTGCGTCGTCAGCACGTTTGCTCCGTTTCTCTTTGGGGGGCTGCTTGACTCTGCCGCCGTCACGTCCTCACAGGACTCCCGTGTCTGGGGCGCTGGCCCTTTGGCAGGAGCCGCTTGGCTTACTTTATCGTCCCTCTGTCCGTCCTCCCCTGGCGTATTTGGGCCTGAATCAGAATCTGCAGACCCGGGAGCTGCTTTTGATAAAGTGTCTTGGGGTTGGGCATTTGGCTCCGGGGGGCGAAGTGCTTTGGCGCTGACAGGGGAGCCGGGGGTCTCCCCCGGCTGTGAAGCGAAGCCCTCAGCACCTGCTCTGCAGTCCGAGTTACCCTCGGGTTCCGCTTCCTCCTCCTGATTCGCCCTTTTTGCCAGCTTCGTGGCGGGGCAGGAGTGAAATGTACTAAGAGTTTCTGTTTTGTGTTTTTCTGACTGAGCCTTCTGCCCCGGGAAGAGACATTCTAGCCTTTTCCCGCTACTTATGGCACCGAATCCCGTGAAATAAACATCCCCATCCTGTGAATTTAAAACCAACTGACGCAAATCCCCTTTGGACTTGACCTGCGGAGGCTCCTTCCTGCCCTGCACACAGATGAGGAAGTCTGAGGTCCACTGCTGGGGCGCCCCACCCCCCCTTTCAGCAAGGAGTGCACGGTCCCCATCAGCCGCCTCTCCAGGCGCTGTTGTCTGGGCATCTGATGCTCCCCGGAGCATCCCCCGTGGACCGGAGGATCCTGCCACCCTGGGGGCTGTTTTGTCGGCTTTGCTCCCCGGTTCCAGATCGAGGGCCGCCGGGGTGCAGAGGAAAGCCCTGGTCAGAAAGATCCGGGAGTCCTGCTCGCCTGCGAGCCGGGGCCCGGTCAGCGCCCTCACATTCAGCACCAGCCCCTGCGCCTCGAGGATCCGTGACACAGGCGCCACGCCGGCCTCCCTGCGCCGCACCCTGATGTTCACGTCCACGGTCTTCAGGTTCGGGCCGCACTTGCTCTGTGGCCGGCGCGGCCTGCCTTTTCTCGCGTCGCCGCCCCGAGCCTCGGAGCCTGCTGCCTTCTCCGCGTCGGGCGAGGCTGGAGACGTGGGTGGAAGCAGCGAAGGCCTCTGGGCCCTCAGCCTTTCCTCATCCACCCGTGGGCCTCTCCCCACAGGCAGGCTCCTGGGAGGAGGTCTGGAAACACACACTGTCCTCAGCGCCGGGCTGGGGCCTTTGCCTCGCCCTTGGGGTTGCCGCGGGGCTCGCCACGGGAGGGGCAGGTGCAGCTCTGTGCGGTGCAGCACCGCGGGCCGGGGCGACGCCGTGGACTTCAAGGTGATGTGGGTGCAGTGGGTCTCCCCTCTCTGGCCCACGGTGCTGTCTCTGTCCCTCTCTTCTCTCGGAGGCTCACGGGGCTCCTCATTTTGAACAGCTCTGATGGCACCACCACCCGCTGGCTCCACGGGAACCGCTTCCCCGGCCTCTGATGTTCTCTGCCGGGCAGAGCTCCGCAGGGCAGGCGGGTCACGCTCTGCTTGGGTTGCTTTATCCTCCGTGCGCCGAGGGCGCCACGACCGCCGTGGGCTGGAAGGTGCGGTCAGAACCGCGCCTGGTTCATCTTCACCCTCTGGCGGCTCCTTTCCTGGACGTGTGGGAAGCAGGCGGCCTGCCCGGTGCCCTGCCCCGCCCGCGGGCGAGCTTCCTGCTCCGTGGCGAGGGGGCGCGGACAGCTCCCTGGCCCCCGGCTCTACCTGGTCGGCTTTCTCAGCCTCTGATGACTCCGGGAAGTGGGCCGAGGAAGCAGAGGCCCTAGTCACCGTGGGCTCGCCCGCCTGCTCCACGCCCGCGAGTGGGGCGGCTCTGGGGGCACCTGTGGGAGGCGCCACGACACCTGGTGCCCGTTTCCCCGCCTGCGCCTCCGTTTGCCGCAGAGGGTCGCTCTGAGTCCAGGCCCGTAACACGGGGGATTTCTTTGTTTCCAGATCCACACCCCTGGCTTCTGCCTCGCGGCTCATCTCTGCCTTTTCCTCACTGCCCTGCTCTTCTGCCTGTGGCGGGCCCTTGTCTAGCTCTCGCCGGTCACCGGAAAGCGCCGCACCCGCTGCTGGGGGACGTGCCGTTGTCTCTGCATCCGACGACTCCTGGGACGGCAGCTGTGAGAGAGGCAACTTTATGATCCTTGACACGCAGCCCTCTCCTCTTAGATCACACTTGAAGTGCGGGAGGGTGGGGAAAGGGGAGCAGATGCTTTTCAGACCCATAAGCAGCTCTTTGTCTTTCTGCGTCTGACTCTCTGGCTCGTGGGTTCCCCACCGCGATGCGCCGGCGCCGCGTGCCCGGGAGGGCGAGGACTGCTGCGCCCGCGGGCCCAGGCGCCCGGGGGGTTGTTCACCCTCCACGGCTGTTGTGCTTCCGTCTTGCCCTTCGAACACGTTCCGATCACACGGCTTGGCCTGCGCCCTCTCGCCCGAATCACACGGATCCTGAATCTTCCGCGGTGGAAAGTGGGGTTTGGTAACTCCGGGTGGGTCCTCCCGTTCCTTCCTCCCAGGGCCCCGTTTCAGGTACGGAGGGGAAGGAAGAGAAGCCAAACTGTCCGACAGCGCCGGCCCGGGCCTGCCTTCGCCTCCGCTGCTGCGGATGCCGTCCTCGGGCTGGCGAGCATTCGCAGGGGCTCTCCTGGGTGGACGTGTGAACGGGGGTCTCTCTGCTCGCACACTCACTATTTTGGAGAATATTCTGCCTCTCTCCTCCTTCATGTTCTCTCCGTCCCTTGCCTTTCCGTAGGCCAGGCATCGCCTGGCTTGTATGGTCAAGTTACAGGAGCTCATGCCTCCTCCGGGGCCTGCATGTCTGGCTTCCCCTGCACACGCCGGCCTGGGGCGCTGCAAAGGGAGTCTTGGACTCGCAAACAACTCTTCACGCCGCAGGGCCAGCCTCCGGAGGGGCGGGCCAGGCGCGGGAGGAGGAGGCCCAGTCGGAGTCACCTTGTCTCCTGCCCTTCCCAGCCCCTGTTCTGCCTTCTCCCTCACTTCCCTCACTTCTCCCTCCCTTCTGCCCCCCTCTGCTTCCCTGCTCGTGCACAGGGCGCAGCGCTGGGAGGCCCTGAGCACACCCGGCGGCGCTGTCTCTGCCTCGCAGTCCCGGCCATGGGGGGGCTTGACGCCATCCCCGGGGGCTGCCTGCACTCCGTGGTTTTCTGTCTCTGCTTGATGTTCTGCTGTCTTTATGCCGCGGCCCCCCTGCTCTGCAGGGGCTGTTTGCCCTGAAGGCAGTGATTCCGGGAGCTCGAGGTGGGCCGCAGAGCTTCTGGTTCCTGGCTCCCCTGCCTCGGCTTTTATGGCGTCCAATTTAAGGTGAGTTGAAAAAGTGAGAAAAGGGCACATTTTGCTCAGAATCACAACCCGCACGCTGCCCCCTGCCAGCCCCCCGTCCGCGTGCTCCGTGACACTCACTTGCAGAGTCTCTGTTTCGAGTATGCGGGAGGGGGGGCACTGCTTCGCCCTCAAAGCTGCGGACGGGGGGCGCGCCCCCTCTTTCTTGAGGACATTCGCTTTCTCCTCTCTTTGCCCGGCCGTGTCTTCTGCTCTCTCTGAGTTGCTTGCGATGGCGCGCCAAGGTGGCAGCATGTATTTTAAGTGCCCTGCATCTGACGACTCCCTGTCCCATGAGGGCGGACTAAAGGGTCCCGTCACGCCTCGGGGTCCTCCCGGGCCCTCTACACCTTTGTTGATTTTCAGCGGAGGCAGAGAAGGGTAGTGGGACCCTCGCCTGGTTCACCTTTTCTTTCCCGCCTGTGCCCTCCTTTGTCTTGTGTGTCTCTGGGTACTGCAGCTGGGGGGGCCTGCTCCCTGGGGGTTCTGAGTACCGGCGGCAGTGGCAGTATTTTTGCCCTGGAAGTCGCTCCTTTGGGGTACATTAAAGATTTGATACTTTGCGTGTCTCCTCTGTCTTCTGCACTCTGTGGCTTGTGCTCTTGAGCCATTTTTATGTCACTCGTATCCTCCCCAGTGGGCTTGGTTTGTGCCATTTTCTCTCCCTCAGGTGATTTCTGTGGCTGCAGCTGTGAAATGGCAGCTCTTGTTATTCCTTCTCTGTCTTCCTCTCCTCCTGCTCTTTGGCCCGGTTCGTGATGAGCCAGAGAAGACTCAGAAGCCAGACTTGCGGGCCGCACAGCTTCCAGCTCACCTTCACCTGTTGCTTCAGGTCCTCCCTGCCCTGCGCTTCCTGCACACCCTTTGTCCTGCTCTGTGGCATGTGACGGTATATCCCCGGGAAGTGCTTCCTTGTCTCCCAAGCCTTTCTCTTTCGGGTGCAGTAGGTCAGTCTTGGCAGAGAGCTTGGCCTTCGCCTCTTCCTTCTGTGGCAGACACACTTCTGCTTCTTGTACGTCGCTCGAAACACTGCCCCGAACGGGGTCTTTGTTTGCTTTTTTCACTGCATGTGGGTCGCTCTGTGATCGTTTTGGAAGAGAATATTTTGTTATTTCAATTACAGAGCCTAGTTTTTTAATTCCTGGGTCCCGCTTTAAGGGAGAAGGAGCAGGTGTACAAATGCTAGTGTTGGTCAGAACCACACTTGTCATTTTTTCTATCGCTTCCTCTCCTTTGATGGCCAACTGGATTTCCTGTGAACTTGATGATTTCTTTTTCTTTGAAAGCAAGGTTTTTGCTGTTTTTACTCTCTCTTGTTCTTGAATTATATGTTCTTTGGCTTTTTTGGAACTATGTGAAGTATCAACAGAAACAGGCCTCTTACACGCTGTTTTTCCTTTATCTAATGACTTCTGGATTTGGGGTTGTAGAAAATAGAATTGGGTTCCTATTCGTTTCACTTTCCTGCTTCTGATCACTTCAGAGTAAGGTAGGAAAGAGATGGAAGGACAAGATTTGCTCTGAATCCTAAGGATTTTATATTTCTCTCCCAGCGTCTTTCTCTCATTCCCTGGGAGGCTCCACTGTGCATAGGCAGGCAGCCTCACCTTCAAAGCTGCTCTTTGGGGAGACCTCATTTCTTCCAGAGTCATTTCCACCCCTTTCTTTGACGTGTATTTTGCTTTTTTGATACTGCTTAAAATATCATCAGTTGGTGCCTCACACATGCCCATGGTAGCTGATAATTCCCGGAGTGTTAGATCGTTCCCATGAACTATATTTTCTCTGTCTTCCTTTTTCCTCAGTGGAGAATGTTGTTTGGATTCTAGCACATTGATTAACCTCTCTCTATTAATTGACACTGCAAATGATATTTTCCCAACCTTTGATGAGGCCTGCAACTTGGGTGGTAGAAGGCAGCTCCTCGCTGTTCTTGGTTTCCCTCCCCCTACTTGTAATCTCGAATTCCAATGAGGACATGGCCGGGATGACCAGCAAGAGCACACGTTTGTCGGGTCCACCTCTTTACCTCCCTCCGCCTTGCTTTCTTGCTTGATGAGGTTGAACAGCACAGGCAAGTCTTTCCTGATGGGTAAAAGTGGCAGTGATAATTTAATGCCTTTTATTCTATCCTGCTTTTTCAGCAATATTTGCTGTTTTGTTCTTTCTCCGTTATTTGAGATTCGACCACTAACTGTCTCTCGATTCAGTCTAGGGTGAGGTGAAGGACGGATGAATCCATATAGACTCGTCATAACCAGATCCGGCTTGGCCCTGCTGTGTTTCAGCCTCACCACCTTCTCTTTAATGTCCTGCTGCGGATCTGGCCTGCCGCTCGGGGCGCCGCAGTCAGCGGCATTGAGTGTGCGTGAAAATACCAACATCCTCAACCCCAAAGGTCTTCTCTTGGGACATAACATGGCTTTTTCAAGTCCTTGGTTTGCCCTACCCGTCTGCCTTTTACTTTCAGACAGAGTAGGCAAGTAGATGGCAAGCGAATGTGCAAATATTCCAGGTAGGCAGACCTTGGTGTGTGCCTTTGGATCTCCCTCGTGTGACTGCACCTTCTTTCTCGCGCTTTCTTTGGGGGCACCACCACTTGGTATTGCATCAGTTCCCTGGGCCTCATCCAGTGATTTCTTTCCATTTGGAAACGACATATTCAAATGCCTCATGACCTCACGCGATTCACACGGCAGCATTGCATCTTGTGTTTTCATTTGCGCCGCTGGAGTCAAAGCCACGACCCACCCTGGTTTGCACTCACACGCAGCAGCTGCTTGGCCTCTCCTAAACAGAACTAGTGCTTTCGTGCTGTTTGACACGCTGCTGACTTCTGATAATGCTTTTCTTGTCAGCGCCATTAAATGTGGCAGGAGCCAGGCATCATTTTGAAGGTAAGATAGATGCCCCGGAAAGCTCTCACTGGGGACACGTGGGTGCTGCTGTTTCTGCCTTAGACCGGGTAAGTATTGTCTTTCTGTACTTTTTTGAGTGTCACCAGGTATAACGTTCGATCCTTTTAATGCTCTTGTCCCCTGTGGTGGTGCATGCTCCTGGCACACCATATTAGCGCTCTCTAATTTAGCATGTTGCCCTGGGCTGTGACCTTGAAGTAGACTTATTTTGGAGCAAGAAGCAGGCTTTGGGAGAGCCTCAGACGTACAATTTGCTCGCTGTCCTCGTTTTCCCATAATAAGTGAGCCAATTCCTCGTGCAATTGGGGTGTAATCCCCAGTGCTCACTGCCTCTTCCAACGCCTTGTTTTTGAGTGCCCTCTTCCTTTGGAACAGCTCTCTAGCAGAGCCGCAAGCAGACTTTGGAGACGTCTGGTCTGCAAGTCCCAGTTGCCCTACTTTTCCCTTGGCGAGCAAGCCCGCTCCTTCGGTATTTGAGGCACGGTCTGTGGGGCTCTCTTGCGATCTCAGCCAGGGAGGCTTACTCTGCGTTTCATCCACCGGAGAACGAGAAGCAGATGTTGGAAGAGCCTCACCTGGACTTTCTCCAGGATGCTCTTTTCTTCCACTTGCAGCTTCAGAGTCTTTCTTCTGCTTTTCATGTGGAGGCAAATGCATCTTAGAGCAAGGCGAGGACTCTGGACAGAACCCCTCTACGACTCCCGTCTGCGCCTCTTGGTCTGTTAAATCACTTTCTGTTTTCTGAGGAGGGAGGTCCTTGAGGCCCTCTGTATTGCTACAGGGCGCTTCCGATTTGAAAGGACCTGGCCCTGTCCCTTGAGCTGTTCCAAACTCAAGTGGTGGGGTGCTCTGGCTCGTTGTTCGAAACATGACCTGCTGCTCATACTCTTCTTCCTCCCTAACTTTTGCTTTGTTTAGTGCATGTTCCTTTTCAGAAGCGTCATCACAGATGCCCCCGGCCCCGGGTAATGGCTCCGTTTTTGCGTGTGGCGGCACAGGCATGGAAGCTGGCGCAGGTTTTAGGTCTGCGGTTAATGCTCTGCTCTCTCGGGCTTTGTCTGTCTTTTGTTCCTGCTCCTCAGGGATGCAGAGAGCAGCCTGACCCGGGGTGTTATGCCAGTATGAGCTCACCAGCCCTTCAGCTGGCAGCTCCATTGGTGCGGGTTGTATGTGCCTGGACCTTGGCATCCTGTCCAGCTCTGTCTTGAGTTTGCTCTGCCTTTGAGTGTCCGAGGTGTCCCACGCGGACACTGTCTCAGCCACATTGTGACTTGGCTTCATCTCTTTCATTTGGGTTTTTAAATTGGACCCGTTCATCTCCCTGCATTTCGTGGTGAACTGATCGATTTTAAATATATGTGAAATTGGTGGCTCCTTTTTCTTGACAGTTAAACATTTGGAAGTCAACACGATTTTCTTTCCTAATGACGGTACTGCGTCTTGCTGGTTTTTGGAATCGAAAGGCCCCAAGAAAGCTGGGGCTAAGTTTTCCCCTACTTCTGTCTTTTCCTCTGGAGTGTGACCACCCAGCTCTCCATGACGTGCTCTGTTATATAGGGTGCCCCGCGCAACTATAGCCAACAAGAGTTTATCCATCGCTGATGCCGGTGGCAGGTCCTGAGCACCCCCGGGGGTACAGAACAAGAGCTGCCCCTGACTCCTCTCCCTCCGCTGCTCCTTCCTCTTCTTCAGCATGTGCAGCTGCTTCTTTCTGTGGCTCCCTGGAAGGGCCCTGGTGGTCTGAAGCAACCGTGACATGGGTAGTTTCTCTGCCTTCCAAGGTCCATGCTTGGGACTCATGCCTTTCTGGCCTACACGTCCTAACGTGTAGTTCTGACTTTTGAGCTCAGATGATTCAAGGCCAGGGAAATCTAAAGCACTGAAGACCGTTCTTAGCAGGTCATTTTTGTTCCATGCCTTTTCCTCAGCGATAGGACCATCCCACCTCCTCCTTGGGTCTCTGTCCTGAGGACTCCAGTCCTGTATCGATCTCACCTTCGATGTCCCAGCTTTGGGGAGTGGACTCTTTAGATGGGCCCTATCTTCCCTTCCTTCTTGAGTAACAGGCCTTTTCTTCACGGTTTTGACTTGAAGAACATTCCTCACGTGTCTAGAAACAGGCTTCAAAATAGTTTCTTGAATGTGTTTTTGTTGATTCATCGCTTGTACCATACTAGACAAATTCCACGTCTTTCTACCTTCCAAGCTATTCTGCTCAAGTCCTGACTTGCAAGGGCCAAGATTTGGCACATAAAGGGAACTGTCGCTGAGATGTCGCCTGGCGCGCGGCACCGATGTTGGTAACGTGTTCGGGAAATCATTCTCTTCCTTTTCACATTGCTCCTTCCTTCGTCTTGTGTTGCTGGACATATTTTGTGTATCAGCAGAGCTGGCCTTCCACGCTCCCCACTCACGGGCTGGTCTCTCTCGCTCTGGATCGGTACAGCTGCATGTTTTTACTCTTGGCTTATCCACCTCTATTTTCAGTGTGCTCAGCATTTCAATATCTATTTTGTCATCACTTGCAACAGGTGTGGGAGATGAAAATGTGTCAGCTATACTCTCAGGGCGCGAGGCAGAATGAATGACAGTTCGTCTGAACAGGGCTGGCCTCTGGGGCTCCTGAGCTGCTGCGGGTGATTCCGGGCTATGCGTTCTGACTGAATCCTCCAGTTCTAGATCTGCCTTCACCGAGCCAGGCGCCTTCATTCTACAGGTGTCCTCACGGAAGTGCTGAGAATCTTCCCGAGATGCTTCTCCATCTTGGTGCCTGGAGGATGCCCTGGTGCTCTCACCTCTGGCCACGGCCCTCGCTCCACCAGCGGGTTGCACTTGCAGGAGCAGCTTGTGACTAACTCCTGTTTCCCACAGCAAGTCTGTCTGGACATGGTGCACCTTCTTGTCGGGTGAAACGGGGATGAAAGAGGAAATGGCATTTAGGATTATATCGGCCACATGTTGACCTTGTTTCATCATGATTTTGAGGTTGCGTTTGAATTGCCTCCTGTGGCGTGATGTGCCCTGTCTTGGGACCTTGAATGTCAGGAAAGTTGGTCCCTTCTTGACCTTCAAAGTGACACATGTGGGACTCGTTTTATTTCCCTTGACTGCAAGTTTTAAGTTGTTTCGCTTTCTTTTCTTTACAGGTAAAGCGAGTGTGGATAAATCCCAAGACTCCGGAACTGTTGTGGGTAATTCTTGTGCTAATCCTTCCCTTTTCTCTACAGTATGACCTTGAGGTACCCCAGAGTATTGTCTGTGAAATGAAAAGCCAGAGATAGGTGATTTCTGGATCTTTGGAGGTGGGTTTTTTTGACAACCATTCCCTGAGATATTAAGTATCTGTGAAGCCTTCCTTGCCCTCACAACTACACATCTGGAACTCATTTGACTTTTTAAGGCTCTTCGTGTAAACATCTTTCTCTGTCTGTCAGATTCAGGTAGATTGGAGGTGGGGACATCAGAAGGCTCCAGAACAGTTGCTTGGATGTCTTTTTGAGCCTCTGCCTTGTCCTCGTTACCTCCCCGGTGCAGTTCCCCCACACGGCTCCCATCCTTTGGGAGACCATATTGCACTGTAGCAACTAAAACTTGACCAGCACGTGATTCTTTGGCCTTTAAAAGATGAAGCTGTGACCTCGCTGTACAGCAGGTGTCAGCATGTGTCCAGTGGCTGGGCTTTGGCAGTCCTACCTGCACCAGATCCACAGGCTGCAGTTGTGGGGTGTCCAGTACCTGGTCTTCTGACTCGTGGGGGCCAAGCTCCTTCCTCTGGCCTGAACGGAATATGAAATGTTGGCTGTGCTGTAGAATGTCTTTCAGTAATGTCTCCTGTTCATTTTCTCCTTCCTTTTGATCTGGATGATTGGCTTCTTTGGTTTCATCTGCAGGAACAGTTCCTCCATGGGGTGTTATCGCTTGCTTCACTTGTTGAGAACCGAGTCTTTTTTCTCCTAACATGTCTTTTTCTCTTCCTGTCTTGCTGTACGTGCTGCTGCCAGGTGACCCAGACATGAACGGGGACACCGTTGCTGGAGCCATTTCTTTCACGTTGGGTGAAAG